TCCCTACTTTGGAGGTTTAATTGTAAGGCGGTGGTGGTTATGTGTGTGTGTATGGGGGGGGGGGGGGAGGGGGGGGGGAGTCATATCAGTTTTTGAGGCAAGGGGAGCATTCTTCCTGAAAATAGGGCACACCTGTATGCCAAGCTGAGCAGCCCGTGTGCAAGCCATTGATGAAGCATGCGCCAGAGATCCGAGGTTTGTTTGCCTAGCAGATAATAATATATAGGACACCTGAGATCAGACCCATGATGGAGGGACAAGAGTCCCAAAGTGGGACTAACCCCAGAATTCAAAACTATTGGGAATTATGGTTGGCACAGGACCACAACTTTCATACATAGGATGCAAAGAACGTAGATCATGATAATGTTTGAGGAACAACAAAAAATGCCCAAAAGCAAAAGGACAGCTACAGCCACCAAAAACATGATGATTGCAGGCTGCCAATAAAACAGTGAATACATTGCCAAGTCTTCGTGCTAGTAGTCAAAGCTCTGTAGAACCAGGGACCCTGCTGTATAGGTTTTTGGTACTGTACATTCCTGGTTGCTCCTTGAAACCACCAAATTATTGATGACAATTGGTATCAAGAACGCAAGATTTCTGACATGTTTCTCTGCAGAACTCTCCCCCTCACACTTTGCAAGATGCTTCTTAGTGAAGTTATTTAAAAAAAAAAAAAAAGCTTCCTGGCCCCCTATCCATGTCTTTAAAGAACACCTACACTTTTTAAAGTATACATTTTACCAAAAAAATACAGTTTATTTAATCTGCTTCCATATAGCTCCCTGTGTCTTAATCTTTTTTATTTCTTTCCTGGATAGTTTAGTTTTCATTTAATGCATAAAGAAAAGTAGGGACTGTGTTTCCCCATTTATAATTTGATAATTTAAGTATTTTTTACAAAACTCGATAGTGGGCGCAGATTAAGCACGTTCTATTTTAGTTGTCGATCATATTCACCCACAATCCATCAGTAAAATCAGTCCAGGAGAACAAAATGGCTGCACCCATATACTGAGATTTGGCACAAGAAAAAATAGATAATATATATAAAGAAAAGCAAGTGGCAAGTGAGGATTATCATCATAATACTGATGGCATAATGAAAAGAACAACAACAAAAAAACAACTGTGACAAGGCCGGGTTAACTGTAATTACAATGTATACTTTGATACAGAAATGTTTTGACTCTAACTATGAGAAAATGTCTATATAAATTATAATTGGTAGTAATAGTATACCACTTTAAAATCTCATCCCTTTGCTACCTTTCACTTCACTTAGTTTTAATGAATAAAAAAAAAAACTTCCAGTTTCTGATGGGTGCTTTACTGACCTTTTCTACTAAGAATTCAATCTTCACTCTTAGTTATTCAAATGGAATATATTGTTTACTGATAGGATTAATCAGTCCTGTGAAATAATGGGTTCTAGGTATGTCCCCGTAATACTAAATTAATTACTCAGACTCAACAGTGCACACTGGAGGATATTATGCTTTCTAAAGGTATGTAATAAAGCTTTGTAAATAAAGACATGCTAGTTTCTGCCAAAAGAGAATTACTATTTTACTTAATTTGGAAAAGTCAACTTCATGTTTAATATTAGTTATCCGACCAAACCAGTTAATTTGCTACAGAATGCAGTCAGGATACAAATCATCTCTCTAAGCAGGAACTGTTTATCATGTGATATATTTTTTCACATTCTGCAGGTAACGCACAGACAGTAGGAATGAGAATAATATTTATACAGATTATACAGAAATTCACAGGATTTTTGTTTTGTTATATACACTAGAGCTCCTAAAACTGAAGCAACTGGCATATTTAAAATATGTTTTTTTAATGGTATCACCAAATCTAAGTGCCCAGCATTTGGTTATGACTAGAGATGTCGCGAACCGTCCGCGAACTTCTCGCGAATGGTTCGCCACGAGCTGTTCACGGCGAACTCCGGTCAGCTGACACATCCCGGCCAATCTCCAGCAGACCCTCCCTCCCAGACCCTCCCACCTCCTGGACAGCATCCATGTTGAAATGGTTAGCGACATCTCTAGTTATGACTTATTATACTTGATCGAATGAATCTGGGAAGGGCTGAATTTACATCTCAGGTATCCCAACCTCTCATCAAAAAATCCACTTCTCTTTAGCTTGCTACAGAGTTAAAAAGTACATATCTAACGTACTCTATCTTCTAATAAAAAAAAAAAAATGCAATGACCATTTAGCAAAGTAAAAAGGTATATGAAAATATACTTTTTAAAAGTAAATAAATGTATATTTGCACTCATGGTAGGTGACCCTATTAGAGAGGTGCTGGTTTGCAACTGTTGTCTCTGTCTATTAGAAAAAACAGACTTGGGTCTGGGAAGAGGTCAGAGATTATTATGTTGATATGGTCGGCAGCCTATAAATGAACACAAACGATAAAGGGGGTTAGAAGTTTCTTGTACTACAGCTGAGTTAAACAGAATTCTTTCAAACAGAAGTAGAGCACTGTTGGAACTTAGAACAAGGTAAGATGAGTCCCACCTCAAGCGTGATTAATTTGCCCAGGTTGCTTGTTTTATCATATTTCTTTATTGATGGCATTTCTAAAGCACCAACATATTCCTCAGCACTGTACAATTTGAAAAAAAAAGACAGTACAAAATAAACTGAACAATATAAAAAGTAAAGAGGGCTCTGCCCCCTGTGAGCTTTTATACAGAATACTTTGCTCGATAGCCAGTAGATGCATGTTTTTTTTCTCACTATAAAACTCTGATGCACAGCGACCCAATAATAATTTCAATGGGGTTTACAGGAGTGAATAAAAGAGGAATTGTCAAGAGAAAGTAGTAGTTTCTCTTTTGTGAGCAGTTTAATTTTAGAATGTAATTATATTTAAACAGACAACGTTGAATTGGGTTATAACAGTGCCAGGGAGTATGGGTAGAATACTGACTCTCAATGGTTACAGAAAGGTTATCGGTAGTGTGACAATTGGCTGGAAATCTGTTATTAGTTAGTGATTCACTTAAATCCAAATTGTATCAAATTAAAATTGGAATGACAAAATGTAGGAAAAACTAGCCGATTTAAAAAACCCCCCCAATTTTACTAGTTATATTTGGATTAGATTCACTACAATTCGATTGTTAGTGAATTTCTATTAATAAAAGGCTGGGCAACTTTACATTTGTTAGTGATTCAAATCAGTACCCCCTTGATTAATGTATTGATTATTGTATTCTTTATTGCAATATGCAAATTTAACATACTATAGGATAGTTATTTTAACGGTCTGCACATAAGAAATATAAATAGGTGTTCCAGGAAAACCTAGTAAATATAATAAACCAACTTGAGCATGAGCCAGAGCCTCCACCAACCTGTGTGCATGCCTTTGCTGGGTATATGCTCTCATTTACATATTCAAGCCTGGATTTACCAGACATTCCATAAACTCCTGGACACGTCACTTATCCATACTCAAGTATACCTACCAACGTTATAATGTACAAAGAAGAACACTTTATTTTTAGGGGTGTGAGTGGAGGTTTCGCCAGGGGCAGGACAGTACTGAGAAATCTTAGATGACCTAGTAATAACAATTTATGCAGCTAAAATGTAATTTAGAACAAGAACATATTTGCACAGACTGCTTTCTAAACACAGTTATTGTATTTTAAAGACACTTTACTGTGAGTATCATTGGTGCGGAGCTCTGTTATACACTCAAACACCCCAACAGTATGGAGCTCCTAGAAGGGACCTACTAAACGGAATGTCAGAATGGAATTCCACTGCCCTGTTAATTCCATTCTGACTGAAAGTCTATGGGTATTCCATTCTGACTGTTAAAGTCTATGGGCATTCCATTCTGACTGTTAAATTATATGGGCATTCCATTCTGACTGTTAAAGTCTATGGGCATCCCATTCTGACTGTTAAAGTCTATGGGCATTCTATACTGACTGTTAAAGTCTATGGGCATTCCATTCTGACTGTTAAAGTCTATGGGCATTCCATTCTGACTGTTAAAGTCTATGGGCATTCCATTCTGACTGTTAAAGTCTATGGGCATTTCATTCTGACTGTTAAAGTCTATGGGTATTCCATTCTGACTGTTAAAGTCTATGGGCATTCCATTCTGACTGTTAAAGTCTATGGGCATTCCATTCTGACTGTTAAAGTCTATGGGTGTTTCATTCTGACTGTTAAAGTCTATGGGCATTTCATTCTGACTGTTAAAGTCTATGGGCATTTCATTCTGACTGTTAAAGTCTATGGGCATTCCATTCAGTCTATGGGTGTTCCATTCTGACTGTTAAAGTCTATGGGTGTTCCATTCTGACTGTTAAAGTCTATGGGTGTTTCATTCTGACTGTTAAAGTCTATGGGCATTCCATTCTGACTGTTAAAGTCTATGGGCATTCCATTCTGACTCTTAAAGTCTATGGGTGTTTCATTCTGACTGTTAAAGTCTATGGGCATTTCATTCTGACTGTTAAAGTCTATGGGTGTTCCATTCTGACTGTTAAAGTCTATGGGTGTTCCATTCTGACTGTTAAAGTCTATGGGCATTCCATTCTAACTGTTAAAGTCTATGGGCATTTCATTCTGACTGTTAAAGTCTATGGGCATTTCATTCTGACTGTTAAAGTCTATGGGCATTCCATTCTGACTGTTAAAGTCTATGGGCATTCAGTTTTGTCATTCCATTTAGTAGGTCCCCTTTCTAGAAAATAGGGACAGATGGATTTGGGCCCCATATAGGGACTGTCCCTCGTATAAAGGGTCACTTGGGAGGTATGTCCTGATGGGGAGGCTATGGGTGGTTTTATCCTGTGCCAGCAGTATGTGACATTCACTGATACACTGAGTGCTGATAGTGGGCTCAGTCCCTGTCCCAGGAGCTCAGTGTGTGTGCCCAGCCGGGGGAGCTCGGGGCAGACCCTGCCAGCCCGGGCGGGCACACACAGACACTCACTCTATCCATGCACTGCATGGCCACACTGTTACAGGAGGGGGGGGCGGGGGGAGAGAGGGAGACGTCATGGAAAGAAGTACGTCAGAACCAATTAGCCAACGGGAAGCGCCGCTGTGGGCGTGGCTGGCGGCTCGGTGGGCGTGGCTGGCGGCCAGGCAGAGTGAGTGAGGGAGGGCGGGAGAGCTGGAGCACACTGTGCAATGCCTGCACCGGGGCGCCGCCGGCAAATGTCCGAGGAGAGCCGCTGGAGCTGCCGCTGAGGACGGTGACGTCACTGCAGTCACCACCCCCACCGGTGAGCGGGCGGGCGGGTGTGGAGCCCGGGCTGTGAGGGCAAGGGAGGCGGGCGGGCAGGCAGGGGGCTGGATACGGTGACCGGGGGGTTCACGGTCTAGGAGTGCGGCTCTGCCCTCCTCCCCGGGCGGGTACAGCCATTAAATAGCCCCGTGCTGGCTGTGTGTGTGTCACTGAGTGCCGGCTCTCTGTCTCTCTCTGTCTCTGTATCTCCGCTGTGTCTGTCTGTGTGTGTCATTGCAGTCACCGGGGCTCCCCCCCCTCCTCCTCTTATTCCCTCCCCCTCCTCCTGTCACCACCACCACCCCCCCCAGCACCATCTCCTCCCTCCCCCCCATCCTCACTCCGGCTTCACCAGCTCAGGGCGAGAGGATCCCATCCAGTGAGTGTGAGCGGGGGCCACCACTAACCGGTCCCCAGGAGCCCTTCCAGGACCACACCTGCAGCCTCCTCCTCCTCCTGCAGGTAAGCAGCCCGTTACCGGGGAGGGGAGCCTCGGGGAGGGGGTACTGCAAGCCCCCCAATATGCCCCTCCAGTCTGTCCCCCCATTGCCAGGCTGCAGCCCCCCTCCTTCCAGCCATACTGCTCTGTCCTTGTCTTCTCCCTGTCAGGTGATGGGGCTGCCGCCTGTGCCCTTTGTACTTTAGGCTGTGCTATCCTGGCTCTGGCTCCCTCTCATTGCTTGCCCCCCTGGGTAGGATTTTTACATTTTATTTACCCTGTTGCTCCCTTCTCTCTGCCCTTGTCTGTCACGGCGGGGGCTATGGTGGCTAAATGCCTATAGAAGTGCAGGCCACCACTGGGATCCTTGGTGCCAATGCATCTGATGATGATGGGGAGGGTGGCTGGATTACATGGGAATTGTAGTATTGTAATATGATGGTGTCATGGCAAGAGATTGGGCACCATCACCATGGCCTTTAGGACATTTTTTTTTTTTTTACTGCCATTCATTTTTATTGGGCACTGGCAATCTGTTGGTAGGGAGGGTGCACATTAGTTGACAATCTGTTCTCTCTCTCCCCGCCCCCCCTCTTTATTTCATTCACCAAAATAAAAGGGTTCCTTGCTTTGACCTTGAGTCTGTTGTACATGGAGGTCTCAGCTGTGACTCATATCCAGTTTTGAATTAAATCATTTTACAGTGACAGTAAATGGGGCTATCTAGGTCTCTTTGCAGCTTTATCATCTGGTTTCATTGATAATGACTGGCTGGTGTACCCACATATGGATGGTAGGCATTGCAGGGGATAGACCTTCTTCATGCACCTTGCAAGCTGTCAGCTGTGCTAAAGGCAGCTGTGCTTATGAGCTACATGATTTGAGTGCAAAGCAACAGATTTTTGGTCTGGTGTTCCTTCACATATCTCTAGACATGCTCTTTTAATACGTCATTTTTTTATGCTAAGGGAGCCAATGAAATGCTTATCGGGCACTTTATATATAGTGCTTGCCTTGGTAGTACTGAATAACATGGCGATGATGCATTGACTGCCAAACGAAACGTGCAATGGATGGTGGTAGATGAATCTACTTCTGAACCTTTTTGCGTGTACTGGTCGGATTAAGTAGCTGGGATTAGTCTTCTGCCTGCTTACTGTTTCTGTTGGTTAGCTTTCCTGAGTGCTTTATGCAGGGGACACTGCAGTAATCTGGTACTTGACAGCTACAGGTTTTATGACACTTTTTTTTATTTTTTTTATTTTCTTTGATGGTAAATATGAGCATTTGTCACATCATTGGTATGTTGTCAATATCTTGTTTCAGTCCGCAGCTTTTTATGAAATATGTGTTTGCCTTATCCTCATTGTGTGCGGTTGTTGAATTTACTGTTTAAAATAGAGTAATTGCTTTTCTGCCTGTGTCTGGTTTCCTATACACATAGGCACTTGTTTTACACATGAATAGTATGCGGTATGAGTTCCTGTGAATAGAATGTTAAACGCACAGCTTTCCTGTTAAAAGGTTTATTTACAGATTTATTTATTTTTGTGGATTGCTTACAAGTGCAACATTTTAGTATTGCCATACACATCAACAAAATGTGATGAAATGAATGTTAATATAAATGAAAATATAAATTCTATAGTTTATTATTATTAAAATGCTACAGGTATAGCTTCAGGCATTCTAGAATTTAGTCCTTTGATGGATTATTTTTCCCTTACTAAATGAATAATCAGCCATAAGACACGTGAATCGTTATATTCAGTGTCTTTGAGGGAGCTGCTAATTCCTCAGTTGATCAGATGTTCCTGAGCTTTGATCTATATCCTCCTGATTGCACTCTATGTAGTGTCAGGCTTTCAGGTCTGTGTGTCAGGTTGCTTTGGACATTTTTCTTTATGGTCCCTTTTTTGTCACATAGCCATTTTATATATAATATATATATTATTATTTTGTTCTTTCCTTTTTTGTTAAGTGGAATGTAATTAATTTTGGCTAACAGCTTGACAACTATTGTTTGTGTTGCCAAGCAAATTGTGCACCAAGAGCTCATTAAAATAATTTCCTTTAATTGTAAAACATTGAAATATATATATATATATAGTTTTTCTTTTTTTTTTCGCCTTTTGAATTATATTATATAGGCAATTGCTACCTGTTAAACATTTTGGCAAATAATAATATACTTCTGTCTGTCTCTCGCCATGTATTTCTTTAAATCGAAGAAACATCTGAATATATTATATATATATATATATATATATATATATATATATATATATATATATATATATATATATATATATATAAAAAATTTTAATTTTTTTTTTTTTAATTTCACTTTTGCCATTAGCATTGTTTTGGATGGGTAATTGCATGCCCTTCACATGCTTGAACCAGGAAGGGTTTGATATCAGTGCTAAAGCAATACCAATCATTCAGTAAAAAAGTTACTAGCCAAGAGATAAAACGCTTTTACATCTTCTAACTGGCTAATACTGTATAACCTCCCCAACAATGGCTCTTAACTTTTGGACTCCCCTCCCCGCCCCCCAGTGTCACAAGGATCTGCATTGCATTGGGGAGGCACTGCAGTAAAGAAAGAGAAAATTATTTGCCTGTTCGGTCTGATGACACAGTTCTGAATTCCAAACCAATGTTAGAATGCTACGGTTGTAGAGTATAAGGATGTTCTTGACCTGCTCATTACATATGAAATGTGACTCTTGTTTAACATAAACTACCTTTTTAAATGATTGGCTTTATTCTCATCCGTTTGTAAGTTGACCATACAGTTACGATTCAAAGTGTGTTAACAGTTGTCTGTCAACAAAGGTTAATATACCTTGGGTTTTAAGGTGCAAACCACGGCCATCTATCATCCTGTAGCCTAGCTTTGCCCATCAACATAATCCTTTTGTTAGTGCATAAATAGTGTTTAGCAATTGTTCTGAAAAACGAATATTTTTGGGTAAGTCATAAACCACAAAATTCCAAGATATCAGTAAGTCAACAACTTTAACCATAAATGGTTATGCTCAATTTTCATTTGGCTTCTCCTAGGTTTATCTAAAACCATTTTTAAACTGAACTAGGGGATGTGTGTGGCCTGTTCGCTTTTAATATTTTGCCTGATTTTTCTCTAGTAGTAAGTCTAGTGAGGATGTATCTGTTTCATAGGCATGTTTGAACGGTAACTTTTGAGACAAATTGGAAAAACATTGCTTGCTGCATCTTAATGTGTGAAAATAGATTTGAGTCTTAACTGTATATTTTGTATTTCTTTATGTAGAATGGTATTTGATTAGAAATATATAAATATATATTGCAAATTTATGTCTGAGTCATTGAAAATGCACTTGCAAAGATTTGGGGGTGGGGGGGTTTCAGTACATTACAAGATACAGAAATGTCACATGAATTGGTCATGCATGGTTATGACAAAGTTCTGATCTTATAGAAATGAAATATTGAGCAGTTAGTCTTGACTCTTTCCGTACTGCTTACATTTTTAGGAAATCTACCGATTTGCATATTGTACCAGGGTCATGATGACTCATTTTAGATTCTCACCCCCCAAATAATACTTCCCAGTTCAGTGACTGCTTTTAGAAACGATCAGGAAGACTCTTGTCCTGGGGCATAACGTTACTTCCATAACATTTGTGGCATTCTTTTCAGAAATGGAAAAACCGGCCCTCCACCCCCCAATCTATGTATTCATTGAAATTTGCAGAGGCCCCTGAGGGCTTTATGTGAATGTATGTTGTACTGCCAGGGTTATACACTGAAGTGTGAAGTCCTGGGAATTTCAAAATTAATTATAAATTTTATGCCGAAATAGCTGAATTGGGGGGCGGTGTAATATCCGCAGTGGCCCTATTTATAACTTGTCTGACTTAAAATTCAAAGTTAATTTTGACTTCAGGTCACATTTTAACTCCTCACAGCTCACATTTTAGTGTATAACCTTTGTGTATTTTCAATATTCACTACAACTTGTGTGCTGTGTTGCACTTATATTGTTTAGTAGTGTAGTTACTCTTTGTACATATGTATAATATATATTTTTTTCCCCTTTTTCATTTTATCCTTTGTTTCGGAACAGCTTGGTTTGCTTGTATCATATTGCCTGATTGCTGAGAGCTTGTGACATCAGGCGTGTGACAGAAATAGAAATAGTGCTGAGGTCGTTAGAGAAGACACTAATGTATATTTTAAGCTTTATTTTAGTTTTCATTGTTTGCATGCGTTTATAGATGTTCCAGATTGTGCATAATCTATACCTAAATGTGAGAATACTTTTTATTTTTTTATTTATTAAAAGCATTTTTACATTCTAAGCATTAAATGTTCTTTAAAGTGGGTCATCAAACATGAAATTAAAAAAAATTTAAATAAATGCTTATTAGTAATCTAAAATAATGAAACAAAATTACTCTGGCTACCAGGTGTTTGTTTGTCTTGCATATCCATTTATAAACTGTTGGGTCACAAAATATCATTGGACAGAACCAGATTCAAGTGGATAATTCCATGATTTAACACCATTGGGTCTTCAGATGTTAAGTAGATCGAATATGTCCCCTAAAGTTTTTTGAAAATGCAAAATGTGCATTCCTATGGAAACATATGTGCCCCCCAAGTAAGGTGGTCATTTTTCATATATATATATATATATATATATATATATATATATATATATATATATATATTTATATTTATTTTTTTTTTTTTTAAATCACCTGTTTATTATTTGCTTCTGTATTCGTTTCGATTGTACAATGTTAAAATCTAGACAACACTCCTAAAAACTGAACTTTTTATTTATTTTTATTTAAACCAAAATATTTGCACATCGATAGTCAAGATACAATTAATTATACAATATTCAGGAACCAGCTGTAGTAATTTCAGTAGCTTTATCTCCTAGGACTATGTAATGGGTCAAATATAACTGCTTTTGCATTGACTCTAAGAAGGTGAAAGTCAACATCCTGCAAAAGGGGCAACAGTCTTTCACATAAAGGATATTGGTATTACCATTTAAAGCGTCACAGTCACCCCCTTCCCTGATAGAATCTTTATGAAATACTCATATTGACTGTTGGAATTTCACTGACATTCCAAACCAGTCAAAAGATAAACTGGAACAAAGTGGGGACTACTTTGTCTCCATATATTTCCTATGCCTGATACTTCTAGACAATGGTTGGAGCTACCGCCATCTAGACGTGTCTATCCCTCCCCAAGACGTCACCAGTGACATCTGCTACTGGCGCTAAAGCCAGACCGGGGCAGTTCTGCTTTAACTAAGAAATGTGAAGTACATATGGTGCCTACTGATGCATTTCTTTTACTCATATAAGTCAGGGGTTCTCAAGTACACCCTACGAGTCCAGGTTAGCTAATACCCTGTTGTGTCTAAAGTGTTAAAATGTAAAAATATCACTGATTTAAAATAAAATACAAAATAACTCTGCTTTCATTTCCAGCTTGTGAACTGTATAGACTGATTGCTTGTGTTAATTCTTGGACAGATAATTAAGTCTATTGGTTGTAAAAACTCTCTAGGCTTTTGACATTTATGAGCCAGCCTATTGATTTTTTTAGGAGATATGGAACAGGTGTATGCAATGTCCACAAAATAATGTTAGGTGCCTCTGCCACAGAAATATTTAGCTCTTTGTGTCTGTCAAACTTTGCCCTAGACACACAAACAAAAGAGGAAATGATTATTGGAAAAGAACTGAAATGGCAAACAATTAGAAGAACAGAGAAAATAGTCAAAATAAAAAAAAAGGCAAGCATATCCATGCCGAAATGCAAAGTTTTAAGGCACAAAATATGATAGATGCATTTGACATGTATCCTATCAACAGTGTCAGATGTATCCTAGGAGTTGGGTAGCTATGACTTGACTTGGCTCTTGCTATTATTTCCAACTTTTTGAACGTTGATATTCTCATGTATAAAATTATAGATAATTGTGAAAACGGTGCATTTTCTTGCATGTTAAATAAAACTATGAGTTTCTCCTCAAAGTTTCAGATCATTTGTGGCTAAAATACACCTTTAATCACTTATTTTGTTTTTATTACACTTTCCATACTTGTGTATTTTTTTTTTTTCCCCCCATTCTCTCCTAATCAACTCAAGGATGCTTCCAAGTACTATTAAGGGTTTTTGTGTTTCGCACTTGGAAACTTCAATGTGACAGCTGAGCCGCAGTGTACGTTCCCCATCTATTGTTCCACACACTTCATTTCATTGGATGGTATCATGTGTCTAGAAACCTAGCAGATATGTTTGCATTGTGTTCAAGTTAGCCATGTATAGAGCATAAACATTGCCATGGCTACACAAGGCAACAGTTTGTTTTGCTATTGAATAAATAACATGGTAATTGAACATAGTGAGTACTGTACATAGTACGGTCAAATTAAGTCTTATATTTTGTCAAGTCAAAAACTGTATGTGCATACTACCTGCTGAATGCTGTTATCCGTTACAGTGACTGATACAACTTAAATTTTATAAAGAAAATAATCTGCCTATACATTTAACAATTTATTAAAAGCAAGTATAGTTGGGGTAAACACATAACCTGTGGGGACAAGGTGGCATATACAGACAATGGTTGTACGCAAATTGTACATTGAGGTTGATCCCATTCCAACATCAGAGGTTGTTTTTTCCTTTGAGCAAGGTAGCATACATTTTTACTAGTTGTGCCCACCTGTATACAACTCTGGATGTTTTATATTAAATGCTGAGAGCATTGTCAGGTGTGTGTATGTATTTAGCAAGTCAGCAGACCTTGCTTCTCACACATAGCACTAGCAGACGATGATTAATGTATCTTTAAATTCTGGATAGGGATATGCAAATAAGGACCATGATGTTTAGACAAAAAAATATAGCAATGGACAGAGTTTTCATTTTATATCTCAAATAGCAATACTCCTATCTCTCCTTACTCTCTTAGACTCCATGAAATCAGTGTATCAACCAGATATGCATGCAGTAAATCCCTGCCTATTTGGGGAACAAGGAGAACTGTTTTGGTACTGGCACTATTCACATCGGATAGGTTTCATTATTACACCTAAAATATGGTGCCTGGCTCTGCTACTTGTTGGCCAAATAAGGTGGTTCCTCTATGCTTCTATTCCCCACGAGTCTTTTATCACATCAGTGTTTATATGGTTAATTCAGCAGTTCAAATTCCAGAATGGTAGGGTGCTAGCATTTGAAACCCAAATAAATTCAGTGCAGGGGCTTCTGTTTTGGCATACTGAGACATGAAAAAAATATTGATGTAAGTTTAAAGGCTGAATGCAGGATACATCATGTCAAAACATTTTCACTTTTCGACTTGACATTAAACCTTTTGACTTTTAGCTGTTTCAAGAGAAGCCACAGCAAAAATGTTTCATGTGTGATGCAAAACACCACTGACTGCTACCTCACAGTTGATTAGGCTGAAGGTGGACAATATCTGTTCGCATCCGTCGAGGCAGCCATGCATGAGATAACTGTCTCGGTGCTACTGCAGCAAAAAAAAAAAAAAAAACCATTTGTTAAATTTGTGCAGGGGTCCATATTGGAATGCAATATTTAAGTCCCTCTCTTCATGCAGCACTGTAGTTGGCAAACAAGCACTGCGTAGAACAAATAGTATGTTTTCTTTAAAAACATGGAATGTTATCCCCAGACTATGCAATGTTTTTAAAAGTTCAGTGACTCTTTTAGTAAGATATATAAAAATATATATTGTTATAAAGTTATCTTCACATTTGACGAGATAGTATGGCAATTTATATTTCCTTTTTCCCACCAAAGCACATCCGAGCCCATAAAAAGTCTTTTGATGTTCCGACCAGATTTGTATGCATGTACCATTTTCTTATTTGTAAAGCAATTACTCAACCCTTTATATATATATATATATATCTGGTGCATTCCCACTTTATCTGTAGTTCACCACTTTTATTCCTCTCTGGCTTTTTTTTGCTTTTTCTCTTTTTACTAAAGATTATAATCGCAAACTGAGATTATTATTATTATTATTATTATTATTAGGAAAAAGAGCATATTTACAATTTGAAGGATTTTTTTTTTTGTTCTTTATTAAAAGAAAAATTAAAGCTGCTGAAAAAGTTTGTCAGAAACTGCAATTACACTTCAGACAAATCGCTTAAAATATATATTTGCGTGAGCGACATCTAGTACTTTTGGTTAGCTGTTCCGAGCTAAACCCAGCTATAGAGGACCAGCTCACTGGCTGAGAGCGTCGGCTGATTGCTCTGTTGGTGAGCTAAGTGTTAGTGAAGAGACCTTGTGGCGCCCGGTGGATCTCAGATAAGAAGTTAAACGGTTGGAAAACGCTTTGACTGCTTACATTGGGGGAATAAGTGTACTCCTGGAACTATCACCACTACATCACTATGTTATGGTGCTTGGAGTGTACCTTTTAAATGTTGCGCTTACTTATCATTAGAACAAACTTTCTTCCAAATTTAGGTGATGGTCTTTCCGTGGTTAATATTTAATGTCTTTTATTTTGAATTTCACAGTGTCTGTAAACTGTATACTAGACCAGACCCATCTTTTTTAATTTAATATGCTCTTATGCTAGAAACCTGTTTTGCTATCTATTTTACAAAGACATCATATTATGCACATGTTTAATATTACTAGTTTTTGGTCAGACCAAAATTAAGAGTAACATGTGGAGGAGCCCTATCATTTTTTTCTTAACTTTTTTACTTGAAATTTTGATTACACAGTTGGCCGTTTCATTGCTGCTATCTTCTGAAGGACCTGTTACTGTCTTTCTATATTTTAATGATCAAGGATTGTTCTAATCATAAAGAAATTATTTGCCTTTTATGTACAAAGAGCACACGCTTATCTGTCTGCTAGACAAACCAAACAATGACTTGTTTATAATGTTTAGAACTTTGAACCCATAGAAGTCCATTTCTCATATTCAGATGAAAGGTGGAAATGGCATAAGAATAGTTTTATTTATTTTTTTTTCCTTTCTTTCTTCAACTTTTAGCTAATAAGATATGATGAAATACTGTAATTTTAAAACGAAAGGATCTTAAAATAGATTTTGATAGCATTTTGTTTAGTTCTATCGTGGTTTTTTTTTTTTTTTTATTTTTTATTTTATTTTTTTTGTGAGGTCAGAAATATAAAATTTAAAGGGACCCAGCATGTTGTAGTAGAAAAGGTGACAGGGTTTACATTATTTTATTATTTATATAACGCCATCAAATTCCGTAGCGCTGTACAATGGGTGGACTAACATACATGTAATTGTAACCAGACAACTGGACATACAGGAACAGAGGGGTGGAGGGCCCTGCTCCATGAGCTTACACTCTAGAGGGAGTGGGGTATAGTGACACATAGGGTAAAAGTAGGGGTACGAAGTAGGTTGTTAGAAAAGTATTAATTGAGGGCTTAGTAAGTAATTTTTGACAGTTGCAGGAGTGGAGTCATATAGGGTGGGGGATGAAAACCTGCTAAGAGTTTAATTGATATGCTTTCTTGAAGTGAGTTTTTAGTGATTTTTTTTTTTGAACGAGTGGAGACGAGGTGAAATTCTTATGGAGAAGGGAAGGGAGTTCCACAGAAGAGGTGCAGCCCTGGAAAAGTCTTGGAGGCGAGCGTTAGAGGTGGGAGTATGGACAGAGGATATACGTAGGTCTTTGACAGAGCGCAGGGGCCTCGACGGGACATACTTGTGTATTAGGGAGGATAGGTAGGTTGGAGCAGCATTATGTAGGGACTTGTACGCAAGCACCAGAATTTTAAATTGAGCCCTATATCTAACTGGAAGCCAATGCAGGGACTGACAGAGCAGGGAGGCATGAGAGGTGCGGGCAGACAGGAAAATGAGCCTCGCTGCCGCATTCATTATAGATTGCAGCGGTGCAATCTGGGAACACGTAAGACCACTGAGAAGAGTATTGCAGTAGTCCAGGCGAGAGAGAACAAGAGCATGGACCAGCACCTAACATGGTGCTGTACCACTTTTAAGAGTCCAACCATTTCCCAAAGTTTTTGACAGTCCTATAGGTGCTCATGCTTTGAATCCTCTTCACAGATCTAGCTAAAGTGAAACAAACAGCTGGATGATATTGGTATTGCTAGAGTAGAAATGTTGAAATAGGAACTTCCCCTTTCACAGCATATGTGAAGAGCGACTGGACCTCAGAAAGTGCATGGAGTGTCCCAATTTGGTTTCAAACTATTTGAATATTTTTGAACTCCTTAAATGAGACTGCACCAGAATCTCCTGGAACCATAACCACTACAGTGCACTGTAGTAGTTATGGTGCTTGGTGTACACCTTTTAAATGTAGAAATCTACATTGCTGTATTTACCTGTATTCTGGAACGGAGAGCCATCTTGGCTTCCTGTCAATCATTGCTATAAACTGGGCTTTCTGCACTTGCCAGTCAGCATAGAGAGAGGAGAAAGTGGTAGAGGTTAACACAGTAAAGGAGTTTAAGCATGCGTGGGATAGGCATAAGGCTATCCTAACTATAAGATAAGGCCAGGGACTAATGAAAGTATTTAGAAAATTGAGCAGACTAGATGGGCCGAATGGTTCTTATCTGCCGTCACATTCTATGTTTCTATGAAACAAAATAGTGCTAAGATCTCAAAGGAGAGGACTTGCCAGTGGAATGTTCCTGCATGCTTCACTAGTTTCCATGGTGATTGACTCACTTTTAGTACTTTGTACCAGTTTTTAGAACACAACACTTTGATATATTTCTTCCAATGTTTCTGTTTTCCTTATCCAGTGCCCTGGCTGTGGTACTACTGAACTGTGTTGTGATATCAACTGCCCAATAGTAAATCTACATTTTAAGACCTAACAGAACCACAAAAAATAAAGTTGTTATAAATTGTAGATGATTATCAGTGCTCCCCCTCATGTTTTTCTTCAGAGAGTCAGTATATAAATTATAAATATGTGGGGGGGTTTTTCTTCATTGATAATTACATTTTAATTATATACAAAAGTGTTATATAGGTTATTAGCCTATATGGAAAATGGAGCACGTATAAGAATGAAATAAGCATGCCTGAGTAGCTTACCCCTCTTTAGTGTAATAAAGCTGGAGGTATACCAGAGAATGGAACATCACAAAACACAAAAAGAGAAACAATAGTGCAGATGGTCCTTATGTTTTGCGAATGAGAACTGTAACAACTCACATGGTCACGAGCCTGTAGGGAACTGGCTTAGTAGGAATGGCATTGATGCTCTTAAAGGACCACTCTAGGCACCCAGACCACTTCAGCTTAATGAAGTGGTCTGGGTGCCAGGTCCAGCTAGGGTTAACCCATTTTTTCATAAACATAGCAGTTTCAGAGAAACTGCTGTTTATGAATGGGTTAAGCCTTCCCCCTAATCCTCTAGTGGCTGTCTCATTGACAGCCACTAGAGGCGCTTGCGTGCTTCTCACTGTGATTTTCACAGTGAGGGCACGCCAGCGTCCATAGGAAAGCATTATGAATGCTTTCCTATGTGACCGGCTGAATGCGCAAGCAGCTCTTGCCGCGCGTGCACATTCAGCCGACGGGGAGGAGAAGAGGAGGATCGGAGGAGGAGAGCTCTCCGCCCAGCGCTGGAAAAAGGTAAGTTTTACCCCCTTTCCCCCTTCCAGAGCCGGGCGGGAGTGGGACCCTGAGGGTGGGGGCACCCTCAGGGCACTATAGTGCCAGGAAAACGAGTATGTTTTCCTGGCACTATAGTGGTCCTTTAAAGGCAGCATCACACCTCTCCTTGGATAAGGATAGAATTACTCCAAATATGAGGAATAAAGAAAGATACACAATAGTGTAGATTGTCTAGGGCTTATCCACTTAACAAATAGATGTTAAGCTCACCTTTGACAGAGCCTAAAATCCTGGCTCTGAGGTAGAAAAACTTGGTTTCACTTTATGGGGTGGCACATCCTTTGTAGATGCATATAGAAGCTGCAGGGCCAAACTGGACACCAGATAAATGCAAATAAAACTAATTCATTCAATAAAACCATAAAATGTTATTCCCCAAGCTTCCTCAAGCAAAAGCGTTTTGGCAAGTCAAAGGAACTATACCAGCTGGGACTGTGTAAATATTATCCTTGTATTTTAACATTTTGTTTTATTGAATAAATTAGTTTTATTTGGATTTATGTGGTGTCCAGTTTGGTCCTGCAGCTTCTATATGTATCTACATGGGATGTGTCACCCCATAAAGTGACACTAAGCTTTCCTACCTCAGAGCCAGGATTGTAGGCTCTGTCAAAGGTAAGCTTAACATCTAGTTATTTATAAAGTGAATAAGCACCAGACAATCTACACTATTGTGTGTCTTTCTTTTCCCCTCATATTTGGAGTACTTCTGTCCTAATCCAGGGAGAGGTATAATGTTGCCATTAAGAGCATAAAAGGCATTACCTACTGAGCCAGTTCCTTATAGGCTCATGTGAGTTGTTACAATTATCATTCACAAAACCTAATGGTGCACTATTGTTTGTGTTTTATGTTCCATTCTCTGGTATACCTCCAGCTTTATTACACTAAAGAGGGGTAAGCTACTCAGGCATGCTTATTTCAGTCTTATGGATTAAGTGCTCCACTTTACATATAGGCTAATAATATACAAAAGTGTTATATAGGTTGTTATTCAGGTGTGGGAAGGGGGTATTCCCACACAATTATTTCATAGCTGCTTTTTTCACCAAATTTAACAAGGAAATGTGCGCATAAAGCGCTTATAGATTAGTTTAGAGGATCATCTGTTTGTACGTTTAAAATGTATATTTATTTTGCAGCGCTGTACAACAGGACAACTAAACATGATTGTCATACTGGAACATTATAACGTACAGGCAGTCTTCAACTTGAGTTCTGGTTTCCCCCTCCCTTTTATCCATGGATTAAAACTCAATTATTAGGTCAATTAAAGCTTTTACTGCATCATAATGAACACTGGTCCACGTGTGCTTAAAATTGCACTCAAACATTAAAGGAGCACTATAGTGCCAGGAAAACAAACTCGTTTTCCTGGACTATAGGGTCATTAGGTCTCCCGCTGGGCTGGGGAACTCTCCACCCCCTGCCGACGTCAGATCTGCGCGCGCATTCAAACAGCCCATAGGAAAGCATTACTCAATGCTTTCCTGTGGATGTCCAGTGAGACAGCCATTAGAGGCTGGATTAACCCTCAGTGAAAACATCGCAGTTCTCTGAAACTGTTTTCAGCTGCAGGGTTAAAACTAGAGGGACCTGGCATTCAGACTACTTCATTGAGCTGAAGTGGTCTGGGTGCCTATAGTGGTCCTTTAAAAATCTGTTTTTGCTGTAAATATTCCTTCCTTTTAGATTGTTCCCTTTTTTTTTTTTTTTTTTCTAGCACTGTGTAGTCTCGTTTGAACAGTTGCTCCTTCGCGGAGATTGTCAGTCTGGATCATCGTTTGTTCAGTAGAGAAGCATTCGGGGGACCTACTTGGGCATGCGTGGTAGTAAACAAAATCAGATGCTTCTCGCTGATTCCATTCTTTGAAATGTCAGTACGGATAACCGAGCATAGCTAAAAGTAAATAAAGAAAATCTCATAAAGCCCTTAGTCAAATTTAGTTATTGAATCCCGCAGGTGGTCACACACTTAAAAAAAAAAAAAAAAAAAAATATATATTTTTTTTTTTTTTTTTTTATAAACGTCTCACTGTTTGTTATAGAGCAGTCTATGCACCATAACTCCAAAAGCCCATGTTATTGTTCCAGAAGGCTACTGACTTATTTTCCTGTTCTGTGTCAAATGGTTTGACACAAACAAGTGATCCACTAGCAGCCAATAGCGAGGCCCCACGCTAGCACCATGACCACTGCAATGTGGTGTAGTTGCTGTGCTGACTATCATTATTATTTTAAAATAATCTACTATTTTAAATAAACGCTAGGTTGTATTCACTATTAGATCAGGAACTTGTCTAGTTGACTGTTCTTTAGAAATGAAATTACTGTTAGTGTGAACTCATCACTCTCACCCACACTTGTTTGTTGTCTCCTTCCGTCCTTTTATACTCCATCCAATATTGTGTCCTGCTTATTGCTTGGGAAAAATCCCTGCATTATTCTTTCTGTTGGTTGGAGAGCATATTGGATGATAGTCAAAATCCAGTGACAGGAGTACATTAATTTGGAAATTAGTCCTCTGCTGAAATCTAAGTTGTTTTCTTTTTAAGTATTGCATTCCCAAATATATTGGTGTACATTCCTATCCCTTGATATAAATGGAGCCATCTCAAATGGCATGTTATATGTGCCATGGGATTTGCAGCAGGAATAAACTTCAACTATCAATTTCCTACTGTAAAACCGCAGTTTTGCAGTACACTTGCTATGAGACACTGGGCAACCTGTTAATAAAAATATTGGTTTTATGATTTACTATTAACATATCAAATCCAGTTATTGATTGAAAGCACAAAGTAATGCATAATAAATTATCTCAGTTTGTTTCCTCCTTACCCTTTAAGGTAATTTTCCCACACTTAATGTATATAACCCATGATTTGCTCCTTATTTCAATTGGCAGATTGTATTTCATAAACTGCTCTGCACATAACCATTATACATGCATTAGAAAAACATATTCTGACCGATAATTACACTATATGTGGGGTTCGTTATTCCTAGTCGTGCCCCCTGCCCCTCAAAACAAAAACCACATTGTAATTTTGTAATAGGCTTCAGAAATAGAATTTATATCTCTTTTGGAATGCCACGTCCTATACCTATGTTACAATGAACTACTCCATTAATACCACATCTTGTCTTTGTCCTTAGATGATCTTGCCCCAGTAGTTGACCGTTTTGTTCATATAGTTTACTTGTTACTAATTTTAGTAATGTCTAAAATCAAGCATTCTCTTGTCTCCCAGCTTCTTGCTGTCAGGTGGGGAGTTGCAATTAAAATTCATGTTAATAATTTATAATGCTTAGATAAAGCCGGTGGGAATTCTTTAAACGGAACTATTCCTGGCGATTGCACGATAGCTAAGCCAATCATATCATGGTCTTGATAAATGATTCCACATTTCCAAGAACTCCAGGATCACAGGGTATTGCCACCAAACATGTACCAATTGTGTCTCTCTCCAGTTAATACTTTCCAATTGGTGGAGGAAATAATTTGTGTATATATGTGGGATAGTTTAATCTGAACCAGGTACCATTGGAGCATTTTAATAAAGTTTATCTCAATGTCATTAGTGCTTTCAGAGCCCTCCGCAGATTGGGACATTCCTACAGAGGAAGAAAGAAAACTCTCTTCCTCACGTTGTATCATTTATTAAACTTTGTGGATAAAGCAGGTGTAGTTACTTGTATAGCTTACCTGGAGTGATTTGGACCCTAATGGATTGAGTGTGCATTTTGATGTGAGTTTTTAATATCTAAGCATCCCTCTTCGCTCTGTGGTATCCTTTAAAGGGACTTGACAAAGGCCTGAATGAATGCTATCAAATGCCTTCTCCGCATCTAAGGAAAGTATCAAAAATTGTAAATTTGAGTGGAAATTGTGTTGGCTATATTATCTAACCCAGACAATTGAAATGAAGGGGTCTGGATGGCTATAGACTTCCTTTAAAGCTAGCATTTTACCCACCACCTACTATTACTATACCAACCATACCCCTAACCCCAAGTTTACAACAACTCTAACTAAATACCTGTCCTAGCCTTGCCATAATCCTACACTATTCATAACCTTAAAACTGCATTAAAGGAACAGGAGGTCACCAGGTGCACTCTTACCTCAAAGGGTTTTTGTTAAATGGTTTAACCCCAAAGTAATCCTCCAGTGCTGGTCTCAACTATCCCCCAAGAGACATTCAGTTTCTGAAATTTCAGCTTTCATCCGATCCGTGACTCCCTAGGTTAGGGTTAAGATAAGGTAAGTGGCGCCGCTGACTGGTCAGTGACTCCCCATTCATAAAACTAGTGTGAAACAAACTTACCGTTTCCAAACTAGTTTTATGAATGGTGAGTCACTTAACAGTCAGGGGCTCCACTTACCTCTTCCTAACCCTAAGTCTAGGAAAATAACTCTTATATCAGTACTGGTGCTCTCTTGTCTAAGGCTATCCACCAAAATGTTGGGGGTTTCTAATTTTTCTATTTTTGATTCGGTATGTATTTTTTGTTGTTGATTTTGTGTGTGTGTGTGTGTGTGTGTGTGTGTGTGTGTTTTTTTTTTAATGTAGTTTATTTTATGATGCAGGTATCGCACAGTTTATACCATTGTATGTGTCACATATAATGGAGATTGCCCGTAACTAAATATAAATGCTTTAAATTTCTCAGTTTGATCTAGATATTCATGCAGAGTCCGGGGACTTCAGTCTTTGTTTTAATAAATCTTTGATGTTTATTGAATACTTGACATAAAGTTGTTTACATTTCTAAATTGTTGATTTTTCTTGTTAGGTGTGCTCCTTTTGTATTACAAAAATATCAGTGCTAATAGATGGACTCCCTAGTGAAAACAGACAGTGGCAGCATACCACTCTCTCCAGTTTTAAACATGACTAGGTTATTATACCTGTAATGCTGAAAATCAGGTATGCCGATTACACTGTAAATGGTGTTGGGCAGCACGCAAAGCCCAGCACCAATCACAGTAGTCATAGGGTCATGCCTGGAGACTCTGCCGTGGTGTTCTCAATTAATTTATGGGGTTACATGGAGCGCTTCTTTTGAGTGCTGCATACAGCTGATTAGTCAGCCTGGGTCCAGTAAATGTGACTCCAGTTGACAGAAGTGAGACCCAGTCTTACACCACATTGCAGTCAATATTGTTTTAACTCCCATTTCAAGTGCTCACAAGCGCTGCATACAACTAATTGGTCAGCTGACAAAGGGGATACTCATTTGATACCTGGTCTTCCCTGGTGTGAGCAGGTATTTAATACTGCCAACACCAAACTTTTATGACATGTCAGTATGTTCTAGTGGTGTTTAAAGCCCAGTATCGTTGATAATGACATGACTTAAAGTTGTCAAGTGGTTAAGCAATTTATTTTTATTGATGAGTAGGTCCTGAGGGATTCCTTCAGGTGACATAAAAGCTAGTTTTGAAGGTACACAAAAAAATTTGTGGTTGAGACGAATTCTCTTATGCAAATATTATTTCTTCTACAGTGGCCTTCAAAGTCCACAATCTTATTGGCGAGCACATATATATGGAACTTCATCTCTTTGAGTTTGTCAACCAGGTTGTTGTAAGCATGCATGGTAGCATGTTACTCTATACTTTCTTGAAAAATGTAGTCTTCTTTTATAAAAATGGAGAAGCTCCAATATATGTTGAGTTGTTAGCTGTAATAGCATTATCATCCGAGGACTCCGTTCTGACTATTCAGGGCTATGTTCCGGCTACCCTGGAGTGGACAATAAAGGGTGTTTTTGTTTAGACGTTTGCCAATATTTGGAGCGATTATATAATTTTTCACATGAACATTACATGTAGTGTGTATATATATGCCAGTGCACTGTGATATTATTGTATTTTAACAGTTAACAATCTAGCATCACATATCTGCATGGTGGTGGTACCCAAAAAAAGCATAGAGGTCTCCAATGAGGACTTACTGCCTTCACATATATTGAAGCATCTTCTGTCAGTAAAATCACTTAATTGGCGCAGGAGTGGAAAGGCCTTCAAGGGATGTACCTACTGTGCAAGGTTCATTATTTGAATTTCACATTTTCATGCACCTGAGGTGCTTAGACTTTCAGTGTAAAGCTTCCAACATATAGAAGTTCACTCATGGTAACCAAAGATTAGACTGGACTCTGGAAAGACATCAATTTTTAATCTCCCAGTTAAACGCTCACATTGCCAGATTGAAACAGCCGATTAGAAATAAAGACACCTAAAACTAAAATAATAGTTTGAAATCGCCATTTGGTGGTGGTACTTGCGTTATGGCTTTATCTTTCTTAGTCTATCATTCCTGTTTTATACGTTGTTGTTCATATTTATTAGTCTAGTTTCCAAGATAACATGCCCCACACTATTAAAAATACAGCTGCTCTTGGCTGCAATGCAACACCTTTACTACAACCAATGAGCTAAGTTAATGATAACCCAGTACTCTTTCTTGTAGCTTCTCAAAGGAAAAAGCATTAACACATTTGGAAATGAACAGTAATTTGGAAATGAACATCTTGACAGATGGTAGAAAATGCAATGCTTCTGCCAGCAGCGAACACCATTTGAGTCATCATCACACATACTAGTAGAGCAGATGGAGTTGTTGGGTAGAAAATGCTACTTGTACCAAATCCTATTTTTTTTGTACATTTTTATTTAATTGTACAATTTAAAACCTAGTTTTATGTACCTATTGTGTTTGTTTTGTTTTTTGAAGGGTTGGGTTGTTTTTAGTAAAAAAAATATATATAAAAATAAGATGTATTTATATTTTTGTTTTTCAATCTCTCTCAAAGTGGCATTTAGTGCACCCACATAAGTTGGGTTGCAATTGTAATTTACGCACACTTACCTGGGGTAAATTTTCTACTCACCAGGGATAAATTTTCACTTGCCAAAGGCTTGTGGAGAGTGGAAATTTTGTGCGTTCTACGTGTATATAATATAGAATTTCTACAAGCCATTGGCGAGTGAAAATATAATTCTGGCGGTTTCAAATACACCCCAGTGGGTATGCAAAGACTTACAATAGTAAATAGCTTTTAAGCTCTTGCTAGTAGCATTTCAAATATAAGGCCCTATGTGTGTTTGTGTGAATTGCTTAACTTTTGCTACTAGCCAGGCCGTAAAAGTTACTTGCAATGCAAGCCATTTAATTTTAACATGCCAGGGTACATTTTCACTTGCCAATGAGTAGTGGCAAGTGGTAATTTTGAGCTACGTTTGTATGTGTGTGTGAACTTACGACTGCTATAGCAACCACAATCATTTTTAGGTTTAATACCTCCACCTTACCAACTGATGCGTCTTCATGCTGAAGCTGATTTCATTGGCATCCCATCAGTGGCAAAATAGTGTGAAGTCGCTCTACATTCCTGTATTCCTTTGACCAAGCATGGGGCACATAATTAGATTGTAACCTGCATGCTCTGTAGTTGGCGAGATGAAAAGCAGGAGAACCACTTGTGGAGGGATCTCCTGCTTTCCATAGTGAGCATAGACCTCTGATGGGTAAATACTTGTTCACAGGACCTTAATATTCTTTTTACGCTGTCAATTCTGGAAGCACAATGTATAGATGTAGTTTTTACCTATATTAAAAATATGTATTTAATAACTGCTACACTTCTTAATAGATAACCATCAAGGTATTTTGTGTTTTCAACTCCCATTTAAAAAAGAAAAAGTAACATTGCCAGTATATTTAAATCCACATGTGTAATCTTATAGTTGTAGGAAACAATGGGTAATGAGAGGTTTAGTCTATTGAGCAAGAAATTGCAATAATGTGTGTTATGTGTAAATTTAAACCAGGCTACCAGATTGCTAAAACCAACCTGTTGCAAACTACCCTACAAACTAATTTTCCCATAGTTTTTTAGTTTGGAAATTCTGAGTGGAAAGCTAATTCCTGTACAACCCAAAGTTTCTTCCTTTTTGTTACCCACATAGATGAAGGGTTGACAGATGTTTGTTGAATGTAGGAGCCAGACTGACCATACTCAGGAAAAAATAATGTGCTCTCTGTACCAAATCTATTAATACGTGAGGGCTTGGTACAGTAAAGTGGACAAAGAATGTAAACTCTCCTAGCATTATGAAGGCGCCTCCTGGAAGATATTTGTCTTTTGTCCTTTTTTTTTTAATTGAAGATGAGCTATTCAGAATCCATGTGTTGGAGCAAGTCTCTGTTTATGTGAAAGCTTTTGACAAAATAGAATGCTAGGTGGATATGAACGCAGTGTTTAATTGTTTAAATTTTTGTAATTTTTACAAAAAAAATCTATAGATATCTTTTGGGTTGCCATTATGAACACATATCCTCATTTAAAAACTAAACTGGTGTGTGTGTGTGTGTGTACACATAATTTTAAAAAATTATTTATTATTAAATGTACACAACATGGGTGGCATCACATTCCTCTTTTTTCGCAGTCCATCTACATTTTCTTTTTCTGGAGATGGCCAGGAAAGGAGGATAAATGTTTTTTTTTGGTTGTTGGGTTCCCCATATTTAAGATACTTTTTACGTGAACCTATCAATTGTTACATTACTTTCTGAATTTACCAACTATTTGTCTGCTGGAATTATGTTTGGGTTTGTGGGCTGCTAAATAGTATAAAGCCCTCCCCATCCCCCATTCTGTCCCCGGCTGTTGGATTGGCTTGCTTTGGAACTCTTCCTCAAGAATGGCACCCCTTCCTAGTGTTGCTGATTTGCTCACTTTATTGCCAACACGTTGGTGTCTAATCAAAGTGATGTTAAAGGGAAAAAAAAACACTTGGTTTTCAGTGAATACTATTCTACCTACTTACTCTTCCACCCCTACTCTTACCTTTTGTCTTTACCTTTACCTTTACCCCACTCCCTCTAGCATGTAAGCTCATTGAGCAGGGCACTCAACCCCTCTGTTCCTGTGCGTCCAACTCGTCTTGTTAGTCCACCCATTGTACAGCACTGCGGAATTTGTTGGTGCTATATAAATAATATATTAATGGAAATCGCTTTTATTTCTCCCTTCAGTCCGTCCTTCGGCATAGAAGTTTATGCCGAAGAATTGATTGACAGGTGAGAGAGGGGCCTATTTCCTCTTAATTTTATGCTCTTGCCAGCACAATGGGTGGCTTTTTTTTTTTTTTTTACCATGACAGTTACACTTTAATGTTACAGGTCAGCAAGCTGCTCTATGTGCTGCAGACAAAATATTATTTTCCAGTTCGGCATAAGCGCTTCCAAGTGACGCAGCCACTGTAGTTACTTGCCGTCTCTCTGGGAGTTTGGTGTATTAAGAGATGCCATTAGGGAAAATGTAGAATTCTTGTTCTGCAGCTCTAATGAAATGCATGTAGTTTGTAATGTAATTCAAATGCTTTAAGAAAATTCTTGCGGTCAGCTTTACTTGTGTGTTTATTGCTGCTTTTAGATAAACTGGAATCTATAATTGAATCTATGTTGCTTACACAAATCTAACTATAGAATAAATGTTTAATCAGTAGCTGCGGGTTCTTCCACACCGTTATACCTTTTTGTTTTAAAGCTGGGAGGCAACAGCAGAGTATGTTAATATTTAGTTACATTACTGTGGCAGAATTAGTTCACTGTAGTTACAGTGCAGTCCAATCATTTTTATTTTAAATAGCCCAGGAAAACTGAAGCTAAACTACATTTTATACAGACCCCAGCTTCACACGTTGCCAGCACCATACTGAACTACTACGAAACACATAGAATGTTTACTCTTGGTTTTGTCTTTTATTAGTATTATTATATAAATAATGAAATGTATTGTTGTTCCGCTGCATTCTCTTCAACTTCTGGCGCTTCAGTTGCCCGGAGCCAACAACTGCTTTGTACTCACACGTGCGTGAGTACCGCGAGATTGTGGGATCCTCCATAGAAAAATGCTTAATTTTTCTACAGCTGTCACTAGTGGTAGCTCTACCTTTTGTCAAGCATAGTAAAAAAAATAGTGGTGGCAGTGCCGCATTAACACTGCTGTTTCCCATCTTCAGACAGCAATTTAATGAGTTATTTTAGTTTCAAATAACACGTTTTTTTCTGTTATGGTCAAGTAGTATATTACAGTAGTCCAAAAGTGTGTGTGTGTTTTTTTTTTTTTTTAAATAAATATATATAACAGCTGACTAATTTACATGCTAATGTCATAGTTGAATGCCTTCTTCCAACGAGGATACCCTGAAAACTCAGGAACACTACTGAGTGGATTTATTCAAAACATCCAAGTGGATAACTTGGGAATGTTCCAACACTAAACCATGGCTTTGTCAAGCTCAAATGAAATACCAACCCAGTCAATGAAACTGTATCTTCATGAAATAAGTAGAAGTGATATAGCTGCATAAGTCGAGGCTTTCATTAATTGCGAGCAACGATGAGCTTATTACTGAAGTACTAGTGTCCACGGATCCATTGCTGCTTCAGATTAGACAACCTATATTTTTTTTTATGTATCTATTTTTTTTATTTTATTTTTTTTGTTGCATTGTGTGCAGGGGGGAAGGATATTCTTGTGTATATGACTGAATTCCCAACCATGATATATACAGGTTTATTTACTAAAATAAGAATGGTCAGGAAAGTAAAGTGAGTTTTTTTAGATTAATATAACTACCTAGAGACATAACAGATTCCAATTTTTCCAATTAAACTATTTCGGCTATAAACTTGACATTTTTGTTGAATTCTTCAATTCTCACTTTTCTAAATAACCCTGTTTATGTGCATATTGCTTTTATATAGTGAATGATCCATGCATGCCTTAATTTCCGATCTTCTGTAAAAACATTTTTTTTTTTTTTTAAATATTAGGAGTTGATCATTCCAGAGCGCTACCTAAGGTTTTTAATTAACTTTTTAATTTTTTTATTTATTTATTTTTGTTCTTCTCAAAAAGTAGCTACAAAGATACTTAGATAAAGGATACACTGACATAACATGTTTACAGAAGTGCAAAAACAGATAAATATGCTACCTTAAAGGACCACTCTAGGCACCCAGACCACTTCAGCTTAATGAAGTGGTCTGGGTGCCTGGTCCAGCCAGTGTTAACCCATTTTTTCATAAACATAGCAGTTTCAGAGAAACTGCTATGTTTATGAATGGGTTAAGCCTTCCCCTATTTCCTCTAGTGGCTGTCTCATTGACAGCCACTAGAGGCGCTTGCGTGCTTCTCACTGTGATTTTCACAGTGAGAGCACGCCAGCGTCCATAGGGAAGCATTGTAAAGCCGGCGGGGAGGAGAAGAGGAGGATCGGAGGAGGAGAGCTCTCCGCCCAGCGCTGGAAAAAGATAAGATTTAACCCCTTTCCCCCTTCCAGAGCTGGGCGGGATGGGGACCCTGAGGGTGGGGGCACCCTCAGGGCACTATAGTGCCAGGAAAACGAGTATGTTTTCCTGGCACTATAGTGGTCCTTTTAAGGGTTGTGATTTCAGGCAAAGCATGGAGTGTTTGCTCAGCTAAAAACCACAGCAAATTGTGCTGCATTCAAGTTTTGGGCAATTTTTGTTCAGTTGTTTTGATATTTTAATATGTTGAAAAAAATATGAAAAGTTTATCCAAAAATATTAAATCATTTTGAAATGCTTACCCAACAATATTAAAGGATCACTATAGTTTCAGGAAAACAAAGCGGTTTTCCTGACACTATAGTGCCCTGAGGGTGCCCCCACCCGTGGCACTGAAGGGATTGGTGACCTCTCCTCCCCCGCCGACGTCAACGCCCGAGTGGAGCGGAATGCACATGCGCGGCAATGCTTTCCTATGGACGAACATTTGCATCCAGTGTCGCAGTTGCGCCTCTAGCGGCTGTCAGGAAGACAGCCACTAGAGGTTGGCTTAACCCCTAAGCCAGTTTCTCTGAATCTGCTATGTTTACATCTGAAGGGTTAAAACCTGAGGGACCTGGCACCCAGACCACTTCATTGAGCTGAAGTGGTCTGGGTGACTATAGTGTCGCTTTAAATTGAGACCTTTGTAAGAAACCATGTCTTCTCACCAGATTTCCAAAAAAATAATAAAATAGAGGTCCAGGCACTCCTTGGTTCAAGACAGATACTTTATTAAGAACCACAGCAGCAACGTTTCGACCCCAAAAGGTCTTTGTGAAGCTGATACATACATCAATTTTATAATATATATATATATATATATATATATATATATATATATCTATATCTCTCTCAAACTTTAAACAATCACAATTATGAAATACACTTGTGAATCGGTATCCTAAGCAAGTAGTTTAACAGCTGAAAGTAGTATACTACTTATCAGCAATACTTAATTAATTGCATTAATTAGAAAGGGAATCTAATACTTAATTGCCAAAAACAAACGAGCTTTGAAAGACTTATTAATTTGTTGATACAGGAAAAAGAATTGTATACATTTATTTTATATGGATACTGTCGTAAGAAATGTGTGTGTGTGTGTGTGTGTGTATATATATATATATCTCTATATATCTCTATCTATATCTCTATCTATATATATCTCTATCTATATATATCTCTATATATATATCTCTATATATATCTCTATATATATCTCTATATATATCTCTATATATATCTCTATATATATATATATAATCTCTCTCTCTATATATATATATATATATATATATATATATATATATATATATATATATATATATATATATATATATATATATATATATATATATATATATATATATATATATATATCTCTTTAATGACAGGCTAATAAACATGCTAAGGGAACATATCTAGATCGGGCTTGGAATGTAGTCTTGTAAAACAGGTAAAATATCTAGACCGTAAATAACTACTGAGAATACCAGTAACGCTTGCTGGGGCAGCCTGCAACCACAGACATGAGTGTATGCTTAAAGGACCACTATAGTGCCAGGAAAACATACTCGTTTTTCTGGCACTATAGTGCCCTGAGGGTGCCCCCACCCTCAGGGACCCCCTCCCGCCCAGCTCTGGAAGGGGTAAAGGGGTTAAAACTTACCTTTTTCCAGCGCTGGGCGGGGAGCTCTCCTCCTCTTCTCCTCCTCTTCTCCTCCTCCTGGGCTGAATGCGCACGCGCGGCAAGAGCTGCGCGCGCATTCAGCCCGTCGCATAAGAAAGCATTTACAATGCTTTCCTATGGACGCTTGCGTGCTCTCAATGTGAAAATCAGTGAGAAGCACGCAAGCGCCTCTAGTGGCTGTCAATGAGACAGCCACTAGAGGATTAGGGGGAAGGCTTAACCCATTCATAAACATAGCAGTTTCTCTGAAACTGCTATGTTTATAAAAAAACGGGTTAACCCTAGCTGGACCTGGCACCCAGACCACTTCATTAAGCTGAAGTGGTCTGGGTGCCTAGAGTGGTCCTTTAATAATTGTATTACGGGTAAGCATGGTTATAGAAACACAACTAGGAGTGCAGGAATTCCTGGCTTGCCCAAAGTGCAACTCGTAATTTGCGTGGAGCAGAGAAGAGCTGAGCAAGTGAAATAAACAGAACAGAGGCCTATCACCCTGTATATAACATAGTGTGCCATGAGTTGCGCTAAACAAGAATGGGGTGTAGCCTACAAGACAAGCCTGACCAGCGTGAGATCCATTCAGCCAATACCCCGACTGGGCTCCTCTCTTTCAGGTATGTGTGGGTGATGTGAGAGGGCCCTTGTGAGGAATCTCCTTGGCCCCAGGCAAATTGCAGAGCCGGTACCGCCATGTCACAAGCTCGGTAGCTACCAGAGTCCACGTCTCTCCCATCCGGAAGGATGCAGGTGGTCCTGTGTGCTTTGCGCTGTGGTCGCTGAGTAGACTTCGGTCTCTTTCGCCGGCGTGGCTTGTGCCTTGGGGTTGCTCCCTGGGTGGTTCTAGGCCCAGGTAGGCGTAGCGCAGAGTTGGCTGCTTTCTTGCATGTCGAGTCGCTTATGGAGTGCTCCGCAGGCCTCTTCTCACACAGCTTCCACTCTTTAGTCAGTGGGACTTGGTTAGCTGTCGCCAGCTTCATCCGCTCCTCCAAAACAGCCCAGAATCGGTTGAGTATCTCTTCTAGTTTTCTCACGCTGCTATGGGACCGATTAGTTCCAAGGAGTGCCGCTTCCCGCGACGCTGCATTACATGCCTCCGCCATTTTGTTCACTGCCGCACACCTCCTTCAGTAGAGCCTCTGATTAAACGTCTGTGGCTCCGTGTGCCCTGATGTTAAGCTCAGCAGGGACCGGGATAACCCCCGCCGGTCCAGAGGTGGGGGGGGGGAGAAGCGGGTGCCCAACCACTTCTGTTTGCTTGGTCAGCGGGAGATCGGCCGCGTCTCCCGCCAAAAGTCGTGAAATAGGCCGTCGGAAGCTTTAGCGCCTCTATGGCGCATAAAAGTGTCGGGTTTTCTCTCTGTGAGGGGTCCCTGCACTCTCGGTTCGGTGTGTGCCGGTATGTACTCTGATCAGCAGGAGTATCACCCTATTTGAGGCAGGTAGGATTAACAAGATTGAGGAGCTCACTCAACCTGCATCTGGCTCGTTCGGCGGTCAGGCCCAGCCCCCCTATATATTATTTTTATATGGATACTCAAAAACATCCAAGTGTATATAGGACATAAAATACACATATACACAATATTAAGATAAGACCAGAATATACGATTACAGAAATTTCCACTATCGATTAGAAATCCTTGATCAAAATCACGAAGTATTGCTATTAAGTATCCTTAACACAGAAAAGTGTATATAGAAAAATGACCTTAAATAGGCTATAACGACTCATTTGGAGTCGAAGTGTATATAATATCTGCATAATGACTGTTGGACGGCACTGCTGATTTTTGCATGCCAAATTATTGATTATTGTAAACTGACTTTTTCATGCCCCACCTATTCTTCTTCTTTTATTGGCGGGGTTATTCTTAGTTTGCTTGATCCTCTTATAGCAATATTTGTGTGTGTGTGTATATATGTATGTATGTATGTATGTATGTATGTATGTATATATATACCCAGACTCAGAATTGCAGTAATTAAGCATTCTCATGCGGTTATGTAAATGTTGGTTTTGGAATTTCAAATGTTGTTTACTGCAATTTTGGATGTGTTCTAACACAAGGACAGCCATCGCCTGCCCTCATTATAGATGCAGAGAAAGGCATACTCCTGGACAGGAAAGTATTTTGGCCTGGACCCGGGAAGACTAATTGGAGGGCAAGATTTACAGCTCCCTTATTTCCCCAACACTGCACGCCAGGTACTATCCAGCATAACTGCAGCCCTTCTCTTCTCTCGAAAGATACACATGAATGTAATAAAATATATGTAGAGTGAGCACATAACCTTGACAGTGCCACCCAAAACCTAAACATGCCATTGCTTATGGGCTGCTGGTTGGCTGTTCATCTAAAACACATTGCATAAATGCATACAATGCTGCACCAATGCTATTTTAATTTGAAGCTAAAAAATACCCTGCTCCATATACAAATTGTATATAGAACGGTGTGCTGTTTTATGTAAATGTGCAGATGCTTAAAAGTTAAGGCTATATGAATCCCAAGGAAAATGCAGTACATTTAGTGTGATATATGAATTCATCATCATTTGTGAGAAGAGAGATATCATAACATATTGTTTAGTGTGGAGTTTAGGCATTTTGTCAACATACCGCCATGTACTTCATATCCACTTAATATATAACAATTCAGTGGTTATGTGGTTTGTATTACATTTGATGTTAACATAAGACATGCAATGTTGCCAGATCTGGAAAGTTGTTCTTCGACTGAAAATTAACTTTTAGATTTGATATCATCATTCAGTGTTTCAGGGCTGCATCCGTGGGGTGGGAAAATGCCTTAGAATACTGACAATTAAAGGATCCGTAGAGAGAACACGCTTCTTAAGGGGTTTTCATTAGTTGGCAAAACACTACTACTCCAGCCCCTGGGAAACTGCTACTTCTAAAGATATGACTTGGTATCTGGCAAGCTACTGACTTGGGTTAAAGGTCAGTGTCTGGGGATTCCCACTGACCTTTTTCTAGTGCTTTTGACATGACTGCAGCCAATTTTAACTCCTGGAGAGCTGACATGCGGATTGAAGCAGATTGAAGGGGAATATAATAACCATTTTTTTTCCCCGCTCTTAAATGCAGCTACACACATTTGGGAAATGTAATAATTTTGTTTATTAAGGAATAAGTTCTCCTTCACACGTGTGTTTTTGTGTATGTAAGAAAAGACTTGGCAATTATCCAAAAACTAAAAAAGACAAGCTTAGTGGCAAAACAATTTTTAATAGTTCCGGATATTTTGTGGTATTAGTTTCGTATTATTTTAGCAGACAGAGTAGGACCTGCCAAAGATGGGGTACATTGGCGTTGTGGCAGGCTTATGCAATGTATGATCATATACTGTAACTAAACCCCCATTCAATTTTTTTTGCCTAGATTAGGTGTTTTTAATAAAACTGAAAAATGTTCAGCACTAAAATGACTGTTTAGTAGATAAGCGAGTGCGCTGGATTTTCATTTTTACTGTACTTATTGGCCCCCAGCAGCACCCTAATTTAGCATGTGTAGGTGAGTGCAGCCAAACCCTTATTTTCTCATTATTTTTGTATAACACCCAGTTCATCGTTCTACTTCTCCTGCTGCCTTTCGCTATATATTTTTAGTAAGTGTGTATGATTAAAGAAAAGATAGATAAATAAAAAAAAATATATATATATATAATATATATATTCCATAGCATACACACCAGGGGTAACTAAATTTTCACTAGCCAATGGCGAGTGGAACATATGATATCAAATATATAAAGTGTGTGTGTGTTTCTGACAGAGTTTTTGTTGACTTTGTACTGTTTAACGTTAGATGTTTACTATGTGAATTTAAAACAATATACTCATTGAACCCTGAACTAAACAAAACGTGTACGATTTATTTATGTTTTTAAATTGCTTTTGTTTGATCTCTTGAGACAGTTTAGAAATTCAGGTTTCCTAGCACGGATGTCATAAACCATGCTAATACAAAAAGAGAGATGTATGGTTTTGAAGGAATTATCTATGAAATGACATAATAGCATAAGCCCTTAAAGGAACCCTTTCTTGTATATACGGTTCTACCTGTGCACATTATATAAAAAGCAATAAATACATTGTTTCAGTTTTGTCTCTGAGAGACATGAGTTTTGTTAGTGTAGTTTAGGAGCAATGGAAAAATAAGCCGTAATCATGGCAACAAAAACCTGTCCGTAATAAATGGCCACAAAACAATTACATTTGTAATTTCAGCCTCTGGGTTAGGAGTGAAGACTATCAGGAAAAACTTTTTTTCTTTTTTCTTTCAGGTGAGTTGTATACTTCAACAATCAATGTGTTTTTGAAATTGTCTCATTTATTGTTAAATCTCCCCTCCAATAATATTGTAAAGCACTACGGAATTTGTTGGCGTTGTATAAATGTCAATAATTATAATTGAGAAAAGAAGCCTTTGGCAGCCATGGGGACATTACCATCCTGTCCTAATACAGTGTCCTCTTATGAAATAGGCACTTTAATAAAACAAAAGTAAGGGCAAAATCTTAAACAATCCCTAAAGCACTTTAGCAAGCAAGTGCTTAAGGGGTCTGGAGTAACTATTTTAATGAGAATAAATGCTTTTTTTTATTACTATTAAAAAAAGCAGGATGATTAAAAGAAAAAAATAATGTACTTTCTTTTATGCAGATTTATGAAGTTTTTAAAAATTAGGACTACCTGTTTTCATGTACCAGACATATCGAGACCTTGTAGCTCAAGTATCAAAAATTGAAGAAGCTACTTTAGTTGATGTATTGAATACGCTGTACTTTTATCAAGCATGCTACTACTATTCACACTGCATTTTATGTTGCCATTGTAACAAAATACTTAAAAATAATAAAAATTATATTTTCTTTAATTTTTTTTTATTTTTAGGAGTGATTCATTCTGCAATTTATTTATCAATTTTTGACAATAATTTCCTCCTCCCCCCCACAATACAGGAGGAAACATGCTTACAAAAATTCTCAAAATGTTACATGTCTAGCAGTTCTGCACAGTATTTTAAACTTTAAAAACCGTTAATAAAATAACATGGGTATGCTTTTAAAGGACCACTATAGTGCCATGAGGGTGCCCCCACCCTCAGGGTCCCACTCCCGCCAGGCTCTAGGGGGAGGAAGGGGCTAAACTTACCTCTTTCTCCAGCGCCGGGCGAGGAGCTCTCCTCATCCTTCTCTTCCCTCTTCTTCCGTCACCGGCTGAATGCGCATGCGCGGCAAGAGCCGCGCACGCATTCAGCCAGTCCATAGGAAAGCATTATCAATGCTTTCCTATGGACGCTGGCGTCTTCTCACTGTGAAAATCACAGTGAGAAGCGCGGAAGCCCTCTAGCGGCTGTCTATGAAACAGCCACTAGAGGCTGGATTAACCCATAGGTAAACATAGCAGTTTCTCTGAAACTGCTATGTTTACAGAAAAAAGGGTTAACCCTAGATGGACCTGGCACCCAGACCACTTCATTAAGCCGAAGTGGTCTGGGTGCCTATAGTGGTCCTTTAAAGGTACACTATAGTCACCAGAACAACCACGTTCATGTAGTTGTTTTGGTGAATATAGCCTGTCCCTACAGTTTTTTTTTTTATTTATTTTTTTTTACGAAAACACTGCCTTTTCAGAGAAAACATAGTGTTTACATTATTGCCTAGGAACACCTCTAATGACAGTATCTCAGGCGGCCACTTTGATTCATTGATTCAATGCATCTCTATGAGGAGATACTGATTGGCACAATGATCTCTGCCAAGGAGGCGGAGCATGGCTGAAGGGTGTGTCTTTCTGTGAGTGTGTGTTTGTGTGTTTAGGTTACCTGCCCCCCTCCAATCACATGGTAAAGGTGTTTTTACTATCTGTTTTTCCTACGCTGTGTTGGTCTCTGCGTGGCTAGCCCCACCTCTACAGTTGAGATAGATCTCAGCCAATCCAATGCTTTCCCCAAATAGGAAAGCATAGGGAGACTATTGCACGTGCGCGTCAAAAAGACATACTGCGCCAATCAACATCTCCTCATAGAGATGCATTGAATAAATGCATCCCTATGGGGAGCATTCAGTGCCTAAATGGAGATGCTGAACGTAGGTGCTGACCCAGGAAGCACCTCTAGAAGTCGTCTGAGTGTCTGTTACTAGGCAACAATGTAAACACTGCCTTTTGTCTGTAAAGACAGTGTTTACATTGAAAAGCCTGACTATAGACACCCGAACAAATACATTAAAGGACCACTATAGGCACCCAGACCACTTCAGCTCAATTAAGTGGTCTGGGTGCCAGATCTCCCAGTTTTAACCCTGCAGCTGAAAACATAGCAGTTTCAGAGAAACTATGTTTACATTGCAGGGTTAATCCAGCCTGTAGTGGCTGTCTCCGAATAAATAAATAAATATCATAATAATAATGTGGGACCATCTTACTACACCTGGAACTCTAGGGCTGTATATATTTAAAGATACAGGCCATTGATGTCTTGTAATAATAATAATACAAAGCTTGCTGGCTGTCTGGGTGGCAATCAGTGATTCTCTGCTATGCCCTTCCCTAACAGAATAATAGATGGGGCATGGTTACGAATATTTTTTTGTATTTAAAAAAAAACTAAAAAAAACTTCTTACTGGAGTTGCATAATGGCTGTACCTGTGACAGGCACGGGTAATCACCTATTACATGTACATCACATCATGAATGTATCCCTGAATATCAATGCACAGCATTCTGAAAGGTCAGCATATTAGAGCTCAGGATGAAGAAAAGGTAGAAATGGAAAAAAAGCCCTCTCAAGGCAAATATGGGCTGTTTACAGATCGTTGCTCCTCTTTTATCTACATTTACCATTCTGCGCTATATGGTCTTTAACAGCCGCTTGTAATACAGATATCCGTCCCACCTCTTTTACATCCCATAATGTGTGACGGTTTGGTCCCAAGGAATGCTAAATGATGGTCACCTGTAAATTAGCCTGTGTGGACGTGGTAATCACAATGTCTAACATATTATGGAATTTTCAGATCCTGTATATCTAATTTATTGCTTTAGATCTCAATTCAGTAAAATAGGCAATGTTCATGTTTAGTAATCTTTATATATAGTCTTTAGTCACATTTTTGCATTGGCTGTTTTGAATGGTGGTGATTAATGATTTTTTTTTTTTTTTTCGACAATAGGGTATGCCATTAAATAGTAAGCCTAATTTGACTGGTTTAAATCTAAAAGAAGGTAGCCCTCTTATGATCGATTTTAGTCATTCACCACAATTTTGTTTTATGGGAACAAAAAGCTAAAAATGTGATGTTTACTTTTTTATTTTATTTTTTTTTAAATCATTTGTATTGTAATCTTTTCAGTTGTCAAGTGCCTTGAGGTCAGAATCTGTCAGAGTTCTGAAGTATTCCCCTGTAGCTTAAGAGGTGCAGTCATCTTACACGATTCGTCATCCGCGATTTCTGTTTAAAGAAATACAGCTAAAAACGAATTCCTCTGCTGCAACCAGGGCTCAAAATTTACTCTAGTCATTGGAGTGTAAAAATTAAAGGGCCTTGTTGTGGCCAAAACCACTTTTGCTCTTCTTAAAGAGCATCAAATTTCATGTCTACATTATGCTACAAAGACTCTCTCAATTATGCGGCATAGACGCTCTGTTCTCCATGCATAGCATCCCCATTACATGCTTTGTGGTTGCTATGGAAACTCTCTACCCGACACTGCTAGTGCAGACTAGGGAGTATAGTTACAGAATGATTGACGTCAACCCATTCATTTGCCGGCATGCCAACAATTGCGTAGGTGTGTCAGTGTTATGGTGAAGGCTTGCCCTGTTTGAGGTAGTGTCCCTAAGCAGTTTAAATCAATAGAGACCCTGGGTAGTGAGGGTGTACTGGATGATAATTACAATGTGGCGCGGAATTGGAGCATTAAGGCCCTGGCTAGTGGAAATTTACCCCTTGTAAGTATCCAATGGACTCTTTGGGGTTGCGAGCAGCGTTCAAGGCCTGGCTAGTAGCACAGGACTTGAAATTTGAAGCCCTGGCCGCTATAAAAAAAAAAAGCGGTCACATAGCCGCAATAGGCGTCCATAGTGTTGCCTGCAGGAGGACTGCCTGAACTGACCAGCAATCTACCTGCTAGTGAAAAAGTAAAAAAAAGTGTGTGTATATGTGTATGTGTGTGTGTGTATGTATATATGTGTGTGTGTGTGTGTGTGTGTGTGTGTGTATATATATATATATATATATATATATATATATATATATATATATAAAAAATACATTTTTTTAAAGAAATAATGTAAAAAAAATATATGTAATTTTATTCGAACTGTATTTTGATATTAATATTCACTTCGAAATCTATATATGTGTGTAAATTAATGTCAAATACACATGTCCTTATACACAATTACATACATAATTTCTTATATACATATAGACTTCAAATATATAAATATGTATATATATTTAAATTCTACATGCATATTTATGTGATATTTTTACATAAATAATTTTATTGATTGCAGTTTGGGGACCTGCCTGATAACCCGGCAGAAAGTCCAGAGAATTCAATTTGCTAGCACTATATTTAACCCTGTAACTTTCCAAGCCACCCTAAAACCTGTACATGGGGGTACTGTTTTACTTGGGAGTAAACATATATAACAGTAAAACATATCACAGCGATGATATTGTCAGTGAAAATTACATTTCTTTGCATTTTTCACACACAAACCACACTTTCACTGATATCATTGTTGTAATATGTTTTACTGTTTTGAAACACTAATATTTGTGTTCAGTGAAGTCTCCCGAATATAACAGTACTCCCCGATGTACAGGTTTTATAGTGTTTTTGAAAGTTACAGGGTCAAAAATAAGGTGTAATTTTCAGTTTTTTTTCACATTGAAATTTGCCAGATTGCTTATGTTGCCTTTTGAGAGCGTATGGTAGCCCAGGAATGAGAATTACCACCATGATGGCGTACCATTTGCAAAAGAACAGTAGCCACTTAGTCACAAACATTGGCCAAAGTTAGCGTTCATAATTTTTTTTTTTGCATTTTTAACACACAAATATAATTGTTAACTTTGGCCATTGTTTGTGACTAAGTGTCTACTAAGGACTGGACATACCCCATATTGAATACCCTGGGTTGTCTACTTTAAAAAAATATGTACATATGAGGTGTGATTCAGAGATTTATGACAGATAAGTGTTACAAATGTCACTATTTATACATTTTCAAAATATAGATTTTGAAATATTTTGTACTTATTGCTCTATAACATGCAAAAAAAAAGCTAAGGACATGTTAACATTGGGTAAACTCAGGACAAAATTTAGAAACTATTTAGCATGGGTGGTTTTTGGCAGTTGTAGATGCGTAACAGATTTTGGGGGTCAAAGTTTAAAAAAGTGCGTGTTTTTTAATTTTGAAAAATAAATATTTTTTTTATTTTTTATATATAGTAAATTCTATATGATTATAATGGTATCTTTAGAAAGACCATTTAATGATTAAAATGACTCCTCACTTACTGACCGGGTTCCATTCCTATGACCTGGTCGTAGAACGAATTGGTCGGTAAGTGAGGAGTTAAGGGATTCCCTGGTCTGGTGCGTTTGTCTATATTCGGGGATGTTTCCCCAAACATAGACATGCACACCAGAGTAGGGAATCCCTTAACTCCTCACTTACTGATCAATTAGTTTTAAATTTCCCCGAAGATCTATTAGAGGGATTCCCTGCTCTGATGCGTTAGCCTGTGTTCGGGGGAAGTTTCTCCGTACATAGACAAACGCATCAGAGCAGGGAATCCGCATGACTGCTCGGACTTACTACTGGTCGTAAGTGCGAGCCGTCATAATACAGGTAAGTTGCAAAACGAAGACCACCTGTATAATATGTGTGGGTACAGTAAATGAGTAAGAGGAAAATTACAGCTAAACACAAACACCGCAGAAATGTAAAAACATCCCTGGTCCTTAATGGTAAGAAAATGAATCACTAAGGGGTTAATTTACTCATTTTGGTCGGTTTTTTTTTTTTTTGGGTAGTAGAATTTTCCTTTTTTTTTTTCAGTATGAGTGATTAGTCTATTCAACTGGAAATAGTTCACCTTGCAATAATTTATGCATTGTATGTTCTATGGATTCTATGTATTTCTAATGGAATATAACAAAATGAGTTCTCATATAGCTGTTAAATCTGAAACGCTATTCTAAATATTTATCTGGTAGCAAATATTAAAGATAAGAACCCTCATGAATGAATCATTACGATTAAAAAAATCTTGATTTAAATAAAGTCTTGCTGTCAGGTCGTTAAAACAAATCCATCCTGGTAATTTCTCAAAAAAAATCTGATATTTTGTATGAAAATCAGTACAAACCTAGAACCAAAAGGATTTTGGTGCCCAAAGGTTTGCTCAAATCATCCTAAAAGGACGTGCTTGACATCAGTTGTAGTTTCACAGCAAATGAAAAGCTACGTAGGCCATAGCTGAACTGTAGTTTCATTGATTTTAGTCTGTTAATTTAAGCTTGGTGGCTCTAGTTATGGTATTGATTACCTTGCATTTGCTAAAAATAACTGTTTTGTATTCTGGGCACTGGCTCTTTGAATAATAGGGTGTATCTACAGTTAAATCTCTGCAACTGCCTGATTGAAAATACCGGATTTGTGAGTTTACTTTACAGAATAATTACTAAACCTTACTTTTTAAAATTTGGTGTTCTAGAAAGGGGAACCGACTCTAAATGTAGTCTATTGTGATGAGTTGGGGAAAGAAAAAGGCACCATATTGGAATTTCAAAAATTACAACCTCTCTCTTGGTTGTAGTGTTTTACAGTAAATTTCTTTCCTTATTCCATACTCATTCCATACACCTAATCTTTTTACCTCTACACTAACCATCAACCCATACAATGCCTAAACACATACACTATCCCTAACCTAAATATATAAGTTAACATAAAGGATTGATCACGCCAAACCATGTATTGGGGAGTAATGCCATCTTGGGGTTCATTATAAACCACTCACTCTTCTCTTTGTGTGTGTTGTGGTTTATGGTATTATTTTCATGCTCTTCACTTTTGCATCTCCTACTCCTTCTGTCTTTCTAGTAAAATAAACATATGAATAAAAAAAAGTGTGTATTTAATTTCCCTTTTTAATAGTGTCATGGTTTAGCGTAAAACATTAAAATAGTATGTTTATTAATATTTGTATTTACTTTCCGCACCATAAAACAAACAGATAAACCCCCAAAAAGAACTCTATAAACTGGCCAAATATATTTGCAATCTAATCTGCATTAGTAAGCTCTGCAGATGGCTGGCTCTGCTTCCTGTTACTTGTAATAATGTCAGTGTGCCCTTGAGGACAATAAAATCTAGCCGGTCACCAATCTCCAGTTTTTAGAAACTGGATAAAAGTGAAACGGTGGATTTTCGGCAATACACCCTTCCTAGTTTTGAATGAGACTAATACTGGTAGGAGAAGCAAGGTTTAATTTCCAAATTAAAGGAACACTATAGTGTTAAGAATACAAAGCTGAATTGCTAATGCTATAGTGTCCCTCTTCCCCTGCCCATGCAAAGAGATAAACCCTTCCTGGATTCCAGCGCCAATATCCCACGGCACTTGGTCAGGCTCCTTTTACTTCTCAGAAGTCAGACCTTGGGGGTAGAACCGCATACGTGGCGATCCATTAGGCCTTTCCTATAGGAATCTCCATGAAACTTCAGTGAGCACCTCTGCTGGCTGTCTGATGGCAACTTTATTTTCCTGGCACTATAATTTCTATTTAAAGGACCACTATAGTGCCAGGAAAACATACTCGTTTCCTGGCACTATAGTGCCCTGAGGGTGCCCCCACCCTCAGGGTTCCCCTCCCGCCCGGCTCTGGAGGGGGAAAGGGGTAAAAACGTACCTTTTTCCATTCTGGGCGGGGAGCTCTCTCTGCCTCCTCCCCTCCTCCGATCTGCCCTGTCGGCTGAATGCGTACGCGTGGCAAGAGCTGCGCGCGCATTCAGCCGGTCGCATAGGAAAGCATTCATAATGCTTTCCTATGGACGCTTGTGTGCTCTCACTGTCATTTTCACAGTGAGAAGCACGCAAGCGCCTCTAGCGGCTGTCAATGAGACAGCCACTAGAGGATTTGGAGGAAGGCTTAACCCATTGATAAACATAGCAGTTTCTCTGAAACTGCTATGTTTATAAAAAAATGGGTTAACCCTAGAAGGACCTGGCACCCAGACCACTTCATTAAGCTGAAGTGGTCTGGGTGCCTAGAGTGGTCCTTTAAGGAAACAGGGACACTGCACCCATACCACTTCAGGTGGTCATTTAAGGTTCCACAGGCCATACATTGAAAGAGTAAGTCTAAAAAACTTGAACATGTAAAATGAAACATTCTATTGTTTTCTTCTCTTATCTAAACTCTGCTCATCGTTTCAGAATGCCTTATGCGATGCCATTATGTGTTTAGATATAAACAAACTTTATAACTTGGTTTCAAATTGTTACCTTATTGGATCTCTTGTTTCTCACATTAAATCAGATCGGTATTTGGTTTTCCTTCTGGCAGTTTTGGACGCTTTAATTACTTTTTTTATTTTAAAGACTGTACTGTCATATTGCTCAAACCATGTGTTTGTCACATTATTATGCTTAATTGCTTTTCACCCTTAAAATGCATATTATGATTCCAACCAATACATATACTAACCTCCTATAATAATGTTGTTGGTTTAACAGACACTTAGTCACACTAAGAACTATAACAACTTAGCATGATTCGTGATTTGATAGTGTACAGAGTACTCTGCATTCACTGTAATCGGTGAGATTGACTTAAAACGGCAGCAATTCATAAAAACTCACTGCAGCTGTGAGCCAGGCAATCACTATTTGGGATGTCTAACATATTTTGTTTTCCCAAGGCTTTGTGCATGAAGGAGCCGAGCTTTGGCCAACTTGTGAGGGGTCTGTGGCTCCACTTTTTACAATTGTTATTTATATAATGCCAATAAATTCCTCAGTGCTGTACAACTGTACACTGATCACTGCATAAAGCCCAGTTAAACGAACAGTGTTGGTAAACTGATATCAGCCGCAACCTTTGTCATGAGTGAGACAGCTTGTTTTTTATGATAATGTACTTCGTTATCCAAGCACTATGACCACTTTAGTGATTTGAAGAGGTTATGACGCCTGGAGTCCGTCACTATAAAATGCTGTACATACAGATTTTAAACTATCTCCTGCCTGAGGAAGTGTAACGCCACATCCAGCAGCGTCATTGGATATCATCAGTCAGACTGGAACTAGAGTTTTATACGAATTGCCCCTTTACTGGGGATGGATGATGTAACCCTTTATAACGTATAAAAATAGGTGGTCATTATTACCCCATAATATTCCCTTAAAGGAACACTATAGTGTTAGAAAACATGTCTATAGTGTTACAAACCTGTTCCTAACGATATATTGTTGGACTACCTATTTAAGTCCCCGGCCCCCATAAAATAGAGTACATAGGTGGCTTATTAACGTTTCTCCATCGCTGTGCTGGTCTCGCCTCCATGGCTGAGATCTTCAGTCTTGACAATGTCATCCAATCAATGCTTTCCCATAGCATGCAAGGCAAAACACATTGATGCACTAATCGGCATCTCCTCATAGAGATGCATTGGCTCAATGCAACTATATGGGGAAGCATTCATGCACAGCCTCTAGTTGCTGAATGTCGGTGATGCACACAGTGCAGCACTGACTCAGGAAGCACTTTTAGTTTCCATCTAAATGACTGCCACTAGAGGTGTTACTAGGCAATAATGTAAGCACAGTGCTTACATTGCTCAGACTGTAGGGGCATGTTGTTGACACCAGAACCACTACATTAGGCTGTTGTGGTTCTGGTGACTATAGTGTCCCTTTAAATGGTAATCTGCAGCCTCGGTATTGCACACCACTGCAAACTAGTATAGCAAACTAACCAGACATGCATATTGGGGAAAGAGTTAACACACAGAAATGAATATTGCACTGCATGTCCAGCAAGAAAGCAACATGTACAAATGTCATATTTGGTTCAGCTTCCATACCCATCTCTAATTTCTATTTTGGCTAGCTGTCTGCCATCTATTACACTCTGTGATTATAATTTTTTTATTTTTTTTATTTTATTAAAGCTCTCTGCATGGGAGGTTAGTTACATTTAAAACTGATAACATTTTTTACATATGGTGATTGACAAGTGTAGACACATGACCGGTACTCTCCATTTACATTCTCCATTGAAAAGAAATCCCTTCTAGTACTCATCACTTCCGGCAACTAGCACCTAACTCCCTGGTGTTTGCCAGTTTACGACCAGACTGGGATATGTACTTTCAGGTTTATTTCATCAGATTCCTGCTGAGAGCCTAGCTAGGTAATGCTGATTACCCATGGGGGGGGTCCACTGTGGCTCGGCAGAAAGTCTTTGTGTGATCTGTGTTCATCTTTGCTGGAATTGATAATTCACTTGTAAAATTCCAACTTCTATTTGTATTCAGTTTGAAAAAAATTATGGACACATTTGAATTAATTTGTTAGGCAAAATTGTTTAGGACCGTTGACTTTGGCCTGCAAAAACATGCCTTTTAATGACTAAAAACGTACACCTTCCCTTTTTCTCAACGTTAACACCACGGTACAGCAGTTTTTAAGGCCTTGGATGAACTAATTAGATTAAGCAAGAAGCTTTCCTTAGATAATCATTTAGGGAGCCATTTCTTATGCTAGAGCTCGGCTGCTGATAATGTGCAGTTGAAGGTCAAATGCTTAGCAGAGAATAGCAGCAGCCGAGGCTTAATCTCAGTCAGGCAGTGGTTTAAAATTACTTAACCATTGGCTTTTACAGATTCATGTGAATCTGAGCTTTCTGAGTTTTTTTTTTTTTTTTTTATAAATGCAGTGGTGTGTGGTCAAAATAAATGTCCGTCTTTAAATGCTCTGAGAATAAATGTGCAGAGATTGGATTGTGCATGAGGTTAGTGTTTGCTTCCATGCTTCTCATAGGGCAAGTGTTTATTTCCTGGTGTAAGATGATACTGGGATAAATTGGGAGATTCTGCATGGGAACCTCTAGCCTCTCTCCTTACATCATTGTCGCAAGGTTCAGATACAGACAGACCTTTGGTGTCTTTGTGTGTATCTATTTTGAGCTGTGCCTGACAACTTAGGGTGGATATTTAGAAAGCTTGTCATGAAAACTACCACATTCAGTGAGGTCGTCTTTCTTGAGAGTCTGGAACTTGGAAAATCAGACACTGAGGCCATGACTATTTAAAAAAATATTTGTAAAATTATTTGCTTCAGTGTGTAGCTAGTTCATAGAAAATACAATGGTTGTGTAGTTCTGTATTTGTAACCGTTTTGTATTTTAAAGGGACACTATAGTCACCAGAACAACTACAGCTTAATGTAGTTGTTCTGGTAAGTATAATCGCTCCCTTCAGGCATTTACATGTAAACACTGCCTTTTCAGAGAAAAGGCAGTCTGTACATTGCCCCTAGGGACACCTCCAAGTGGCTACTGAAGGGGCTTCCTGGCTCAGGGCTGCACAGTAAGCAGCCCTGCCGTTCAGCGTCCCCATGCTCTGCATGGAAACGCTGAATATTCCTCATAGAGATGCATTTATTCAGTGCATCTCTATGAGGAGGTCCTGAATGGGCAAAATGGCATTTGGCCCTGCCCCATCGCGATTTCCGCCAATTCAATGCCTTACATATGGGAAAGCATTGGAATGGCAAAAAATCTGCCATTTTGATGATGTCACAAAGGGGGTGGGATGGACAAGCCACCTATATGGTGGGAATAGCACTATAGGGGCATGAATATATGTTTGTGTTCCTGACCCTATAGTAATTCTTTTATGTGTTGGCTGCACTTAGGGGGGAAAAAAATCAAGTGGTAAAGATATGTTTAAGGCATGCAATGGTTTTTATATCTGTGCTCAACAAACCACATGGCCATCCTACCTTTAAAAAAAATTAGCTAGTAGTTCCTAACATGTTTGAGTATTTTTGAAGCATCTTTGTAGCAGTACCTCACCCCTTTACTCTGTAAGAAGTAAATTTGGCTCTTAAATATGTATCTGTTCAGGAAATCCTCATATATTTTTGAACTCATTGCTTTGTAACAGGCCAATTATAAGTTTAGATATAGACTATGTGCTGGAAGAATATATACATTTAATATTCCCACCGTTAATTATTTAAGGCACTCTCATCAACACCTCAGAGGAACACATTTCTCTGTCAAGATACAATTGTGTTCCTATGTATGTGCAGTAGAACTTTAAATGGTATCTATCCTCTACTCACCCGTTACACAGTAACATTTGCAGGATTTAAATAACTATTGGTCAGTTACATAGCATATTTCTGTTAAAAGCACAAAAGTCTCCAGTGTAGGATAAAATCTTAAAGTGGCACTGTCATGCCGAATCTTGTTTTGTTTTTTTTGTTTTTTTTAACCCCCCTCCGGCCTCAACTATCTCTGACACTCTAGTCACCCCCAAATGCCCCTAAGCCCCCCACATTACCTATTTTTTCTTCTTTATTTTCTGTCCCGATCTTGATTCAGGGCGCAGCCATCTTTGTGTGGGTAGATGAAGTCCCTGTGGGACACGTCATCAGCCCACACTAGACAGACTGTGAGATTCCCGCACATGCCCAGTGAAACACCTGGACATGCGAACGGGAATTTCATCTATTCATTCATTCATCAGACAACGAATGAGTGTATAGAAATATCAGCCGAACAAACTAACACTGTGTATCAGTGTTTGTTTGTTCGTTCAGTTTATTACAAGGAGGGAGCTACCGGCACGCAGCTCCCTCCTTGTAATATGTAACCATAGAAGTGGCAGGGAGCAGTGCTCCCCTCCACTTCATAAGCCCCCAGGTCCCCCCTCACTCTATGGGGTTCAATATGAGGGCGGGGGGGGGAGGACAGTAGGTCCCCCCCTCATTATCTTTATGGCCCCCACCCGCTGTCCAGGGTGGGGGCCAATAGTTTTTTTTTTTTTTTTTCTGTTTACCAGACATGCCCCTACTAGCGGTATAGCGAGTAGGGGCAGCATTTACTAATACTAAGTAATTTTTACTTATTATTAGTAAAGTTGGCTGAAAGACCAATTTAGGTCTTTCAGCCTTTTAGTAGATAACTCCCTGATACCGTGGGAATTAGGGAGTTATCTACTAAGCGGCTGCAAGATGCAGCCACAGCAAGAATAGGATCGGAGTTTCATTCATTCGAATGAAATTCCGATCCGAATAAAGTGCCGAATTGCGTTCTAAAGCAAACTAACATACTGTTCTCATTCAGTTAGAACGTAATTAATCAGTTTAGTGTAAAATGACAGGAAGCATCGTGGGAACACAGAGGAAAGGTGAGAATTATGGGAAAATTGCTCTGACCAGCGGAAATGAAGCACACTTTGCTCCTCATCTGGTCAGAGCTGGTCAAGTGGAGGAATCCTCCATAAGGCAAAGAGTCCCTACTTTGTCTTATGATTTACAGAATAACAGATCCTGATAGAGGGGGAGAAGAGGAAGAGATTGAGGAAAGGTAAGTTCGGCATGACAGTGCCGCTTTAAAGAGACACAGCACTGTCAAAAAACAAAATAACTGTTTAGTAGTTATATACCCAATGAAAACATGCATGCATTTACTTATGCTTTTTTTAAATTTATTTATTTTATTGGTTAGCCCCAATCTAAAAATAGTTTGCAAAAACGGAAGTTCTCTTGTCTGAAGCCTTTTGCGAACCCTCCTGGCTGTCCAATTGCAAACTTCATAATCCAGTTCACTGAGAAGTCTTTGCAAGGTAGTTGTTCTGAGCAATTTCCTGTCTTGTTAGTTTAGCCTGAGTTAAGCTAAGCAAGCAGTAAGTAACAGTACCGGTTGTCTGACAGCCAGTGAGCGTAACAAAATTAATTTATGAAAATGGTAAAAAAATTTCTTGAAACCTGCACTTTTTTGTAAAATGTGAGAAAAAGAGGGGGACACACTATTAACACATAAAACACTAAAGCAAGCTGACGTTCCTTAATGGTCCGGTGTGTACCTTAAAGCACATTCTATCTCACTTCTTGCTCGATGTTATCTTTAATTTTTCTTTACTTGACACATGTCCCATACTCATTTGGTTTATTAAACAGGCCCCTCTTACATGAAGGGGCACTAGGCACCTTAGCCACTGCAGCTTATTAAAGTGGTTATGTTTCAAAAAGTCTGTGGGTTGTTTCAAAACATTGGCACCATCGCTCTCCCTGCACCTCTAGCCAGGACTAATTAACTGCTGCTCAGCAAATCTGGAATTGAAATTCCACATTTTACTGTTCAACTTCGTGTGGTAATGATGGGCTGGTTCCAAGCCATTTTAACCTGTTCTCACTATAAAAAAAGTTTCACTTCCGACTTAGTTGGTAAGCTTTCTGAAGGGCCTTCAGAATCTGTCAAACTACTGAAACACTGTTTGACAAAAATTGGGAGGATAGTCCTTCAAACACGTACCACATATGATTCTTATGAGCTTTAAAGTTTTAAATGAGAATATTTTTGTTTGTTTTTTCATTCTTTTATTGAGGCATTGAAAGAGACAGTACAGAAATAAGAGTGGAGCTACTCATTTGAATCACATGTCAAACTGGCATATCAAATGTACATCAAAGCAATACTCCTGAGCATTCCTGCCTCGTTTTATATTTTAAGAAGGTGCAACTATACTAACAAAGAACAAACATTATGTGATGCTTCCGGTCATGGCAAGAGACACTCTGCTGTTTGGGACTGGTTAGGGAAGTGTCTATTAATGAGGTGCGAAGGGCCTCATGCTTGATTAATGTTAAATGAAGGGATAGATGGCCGCTGCCTTAGATGTGGTTTGGGAGCAATGATAAATTTGCTGGTCACGGTATCCGTAAAGGTATGCCGTGGAGTAAACCATTTATGTTGCAGCATATAAGATGTCTCCTGCGCCCACAGGCTTTGTGGGCCTAGTAAAGTGAGCTATGGTATATACTACTGGACCATATGGTGAGCAAAATCCTAACTAAAGATATAAAAAACAAAAACCCAAATAAAAACAGTGTGCAGAACTTGTGTTCTTCGCTAAGTCACTGTGCCTCTATCTCCTCGAGGTACAAAAGATGTTACCCCATCGATATTCCATGTGTGGAGCGCCTGTAGCGGTTGTGGTCTGGTTGGGGAGGCCCAAGTTAGCTAGTAGTGCCTATCCCTCAGTGGGATCTGTGTAAATTAGAATGTTTGCTTTAATGTCCTGATTAAATGTTACAATAATTTACCTTTATATATTTTTTTTTCTTTCTTTTTTAGGTTCCCATCTAAAGTTTCCTGAAAGAATGCAGGGGTACATCATGGAACAGTATTTAAGACTTGGCTCTGGGAGTCCGCTTTGAGCAGTCCAGTAATCCTTTAACATGAACTTGGCATAGAAACTGACTTGTTCTCAACCAGGTTGTATTTTAATTTTTGGGAGTATAACTTCCAACTGGAGTTGAGTCTTTGAAGGCTAGATTTATTTGACTACATCAAGGGATTGTCTGTGTTCAAGATGGCTAACAATTCAGTTGCGTACAGTGGTGTAAAAAACTCTATAAATGAAGCAAATCATGGGGGAGATTTTGGGATCACGCTTGCTGAACTTCGAGCCCTTATGGAACTGAGATCAACGGATGCATTACAAAAAATAAAGGAATGCTATAGCGATGTTTATGGAGTTTGTAGCAGGTTGAAAACTTCACCGCACGAAGGTAAGAAACCTGGATTATAGTGGACCTGCATTCTCACTCTGTTTAGTTAAAATATTTATGACTTGTACTTTTTCACAAATAATACCAAAGTAAAGGAATCTCCTATCTTTTATGTTCTGGGGATGTAACCGAAATTCCATTTTGCTGTTAATGTCTCCTTTTTGAACTTAGGAGCAAACTATTGAACTTGATTTTTCTAAATATATATTTGTATATTATGTTGCAATTGAACGATGTCTTAATGTTCATTTTATAATGACCGTTTACAAACAGTTTGATAATTTCTTTGCTGTGTCCAGTGGTTAGGGTCTTACCAGTTAGAGCTTATTTGTTGGAGTAGAAGTCCATGCTTTGGCACTATCATACCATCTCATAACAGACTTAAAGTATTTATTGGCTGAGAGCGATCAGTGAACACACTCCGTCAAAGAATATTGAACTTCCACTTTACCAGATTAACACTGGACGGACCACTGGCACAAACACAACAAAGTAAATCTCAAACTATTCATAAATAGTTTGACAGGTTACTCTTGGCACCATAGTACTACAGTACAGTACGCCCTTCAAGAACTTCTGGTCTATACACTAAGCTAATTAAAATGTACTGAGTTGGTTCCCAGAATGCAGTGGATGCACCATGTACTGCTCCAGGGTCATTCAAATTTTTTATGCCAGTGCATATGCAGTCCACATTTGGTTTTTGTTTAGTTTTTTTAGTTTTTTAAATATATAAAAAATATACTTAAAGGCAACCTAAATAAAACCCTAAATTTATGTATAATATATATATCTTCCATGCGTTGTTTATTTTTGCTACTAGTATAATATCCCTCAATTTTATTTATTTTTTTGTTTGTTTTTTATTCTTCCCACCCAGAGATAACATTTATGTAAATGCTACATGAGGAAATTATACATTCCCAAATTTGTTTTGCAGTAGAGGAATTGTTTTAAAATTGTGTTGCCAGAGCTGGAGTCACATTTACTGGAATAATTTTTTTTTTTTTTTATTTTTTTTATTGCTGCAAAGTACACCGTAAGATCAGGGTTGTTTTTTCTTTTCTTCTTCAAAGATATGGTTTTCACGGTTCATGGATATGGTTTTATAAAACAATCTAAAATAAAATGCATCCAAAATACTGCAAAAAATTTCACTGCTTTTAAACATGCGCCTTTAAAAGGATTGACATTGTTGGTAAAAGGAAAATAACCTAAGACACTTAATACAGTTGAGGAGATTTGTATTTTTTCAGTTGTAAAGATAACACATTGTAAACTTAATATTGGTATGATTAGGCAACCAAATATAGCTCCGTTGACAAATATAGCCTGCAGTCAACTAGTTCGTAATGGCTACTAGTCTAGTTTTTCTTGAGCAGGTGGTTTTGGCATACGGGGAATGCATTTAAAAAAAAAAAACACTCTCAAACCCCTCCCTGTCACAAGCCTGCAATTTAGGTTTTAAAAATGCCATCAAAAATGATTAAAGTAAAATAATCTGCCTTTCCACACTAATTTGAAGATGGTGAACAAGGATAGAAGATGTGTGCGGTTACTTTTTAAAAGGCATATGTGCATTCATGAACAGACACTTAAAGTATAGTTGAGTGACTAGGCGTATACGTTTTGTAGTCTGTTTTGTTCTCTAAATATATCTTGACATGCAAAGTATTTGTGGCCACTTTTAGATGTTCATTAATACTCATCTTCGTTTAGGGGACTCCCCACACTTTTGCAGTAAGAATTTAAAACCACATGTTTATATAAGTAGCACACCAAATATGTGCAAGATAAATACTGAATAAAAGCAAAACAGATTGTACAGTTTCTGGAATGAAAGCAAAAACTTTTTAAGCAGCTTTAAAATAATGTAGAAAAATTAAATAATGACAAATAACATACACAGGTTTAAAGGGACCCAAACCACTTCATCTCATTGAAGTGGTCTAGGTGCACAGTCTCTGTTCCTTTTAACTCTGCATCTGAAAACATTGCAGTTTTAGAGAAGACCGCAACTAGGGGTTTCCTGGTGTTTCACATAGTTTGTCTCTGTGAAACGACACTGGGTGTCCTCACGCTTTGCATTGATTCTTTGCTTTCCTATAGAGAAGGCCTTATGTGGGTGCCGCACATACTCATTTGGTTCCCCTACGCAATGACGACCGAGAAGGCGGAGATGGATCCAGTGCTGAGGACATCTATGCTAGAATAATATAAGTGAAAAGGTTTTTTTTTTTTTTTTTGATCCCCTTAATAGGAATGGGAGACTGGGCAGAGTGACTCCATAGTATTAGAAATGCAGCTTTGTATTCCTAATACTATAGAGTACCTTTAAATACAGTTTGACAAACTATGTTGTTTGTTTAACAAAAAGGATTACAATTGAGCAGTGTTAAATTTGGCAGCAAATTTCAATTTAGTTTTAGTCAGTCTTTTGACTAAAAAGCCATTTTAGTTCTAGTCTTATTTTAGTCACCTGAATTGTTAGTTGACTAAATCTAAAAAATTAGACAAAAATGTGAATAAAATTGTTAGTTGACAAAAATAACACTGCAGTTGAGGTGCAATCTGATTCCATTATGTTAATGATTTTCTTATTCTTGCTGTGAATCTATAAAAATATATGCAAAATATAAGCTAGGTTTTTGAGATGCCTAATGTAAATTTTGTTGCCAAAGACTATCTTGTTGAACTTGCAAAATTCAATTATCTTGCCAAGGGGAAAAACTACAAACTCCATGTGGAACTTTGTACACAAGTGACAGCCACAGCAAGTTCTCTGGATGTCGGCCCTTATCACAGTTAAAATTAGGACATATTATTTGGCTTGAGTCCCTGTCAGCTAGTGCTTCCTGAATTTCTACTTGCGGGAAATAAAATCTTTTTTTGGGACTATGGACATTTAGCACTGGTGGGAACAGTTGTTCTAAAATTCCAACTGAAACACCAGGATACAGATCTGTGCCACCGGTTTGGGAGTGTATATATCAGAGATCAGGATTGACAAAATTAATATACTTTTATTAATGGAAGATCTTTATCATTCAGTAGAACAGTTAACAAGACCATGCTCATACTGATTTAAGAAGCACTTGTATCTCAGTGTGGGTTGCAACAATAACATGACTTATTTTGTTACTTTTTTAGTTTAGACCAGGGGTTCCCAATTAATTTTTCCGAACCCTTTGACACCGTATACCAACATCATGGAACCCCGAAAAAAAATTTGCGACCTAGCACAGACCTTTTTAATAAGTGGCTATTATCTTTTTTTTTTTTTTTTTTTTTCTTTTTTTTTTTTTAGTCTTATGATACTCCTGAAGCTTTCGCTTAAAAGCAATGTCTTTATCTTTGTACTCTGGGTGATTTCGCTCAAAATGACGACGTAATTTAGCAGGTGTTAACGAACTGTTTGGCACTGTTTTCTTGCAAAGTAAGCATTGTGCGTGAGGAAAATTTTTATTTCTGGCACTTGTGAATCCAAATAAGTAGCTGCCCGGTCATTATATTTTCTTTTCTTTGTTTGAGAAGAAGATTGGGTAGCATTGTGTGCTTTTCTTTTTAACTTTGACTTGTCTCTGCTATTTGAGGAACAGTAGATTCAACTATTTGGGACCTGATTTCTTGTTTTTTTTTTTCTTCGTTTCTAAAAGCAACGAACAGTTAGAAGTAGTAATACTCTTTCGCTTAATTGTTCCTTGTTTTAACCAGATGTCCAAATTCATGGTTGTTGGTTGGTAAAATAAACCAAACCCTTCCCTAACCTGAAAAAAAAAAAAATCAGATTTCACTACCTGACTGCAATGGATGCCGTTTCTTATCAAGCTCTTACAAAGAACTTAATGTAAGCAGGATTTTGAGTGCGTCTTGGCTCAAAAAGATTAGCGCACTATAAAACAGATCTCACTACCTGACTGAAAAGGATGTTTTATGAAGCACTTAGAACTTAACCATAAGCAGTATTTTGAGTCAATCTTTGAGTGTAAAACACACTTTAGTACATATTTCACTACCTAACTGCAAAGTATGCTGTTTTAACAGCTCTTAGAAATAAATATTTTTTTGGGACATGACTGATTTCTACATAGTAAGCAGAAAAAAAAAACCCAAAACACTATATGTAAATAAGTTTAACCAACAAAAAATATGAGAAACCCAACCCAAGTAATGTTGTATTCAGCTGCAAACTTTTGACACAATCTCCAAAAAAAAAATTAAATAAAAAAAAAAAAAAAAAAAACTTTTACCCATCTGCCACAATGGGCACTACTCTAAAGGGCAGTAAAATAAATCCTTTTTCCTGAGGCCAATAATGTGAGCTGAGCACCTGCCTGAATGCTTCCGCTCTCTACCACGGAGTGGATATGAAATGGCTGATGGGGGCTGATTATGTCAGCAGGCATGCATAAACTGCACAGTCTTGCGATCTCTTAATAAGATCGCGGTCGTGCAATCTCTGCTGTTTCTGACCTTCCGGGAACAGCAGGGAGCAGCACCATCTTGGATGTGGCAATTCACGGCGGAACACCAATTTTAGACAAAGATTGTACAGAGATGTAAGCATACATGTGA